TTTTTAGGTCTACGTTATTGGTCTACTTTCTTATGTCCTGTTGTTATTTTATCAAAACACAGATGAATAAATATTTTTTGTACAGTACTTAAACTTGATGTATTATGGTAAAGCTTTCTTAGATAGTTTGCATATGTCAAGGNAATCTACTTTTAAAGCTCTTCCTAAAAATGCCATTTTTCACCTACTACTTTCTAAACTGCACCTTCTTACAAAAAAAAATGCCACTTCCTAAACCAATTTCAAGACAATCTAAATAACTCACTATCTTCCATCAAACAACTTGAAATTCATAGAACAAACAACTACCAATCTTTTATTTCGAAATCCATTGGGGTTTCCCCGCACATTTGTCAGTCGTAACCTTTTACAAAAGAAATAACGCAAAATTCTACAAAAACTAATTCACCATTTTATTATTCTTTTTCATCCAATGTTCAAAAAAAAAAAACAAAAAAAAAATGCCAGGCCGGATTTATCAGAACATCATTCTGGAACACGTCATCATGTTTGCTTAGGGGTGCTATGGACGCAAAATTAGTGTTTATGGATGACAAAGCCGTCCTCACTGAGAAAATATAAACGAATGCCTTCAGTCTAAGGATACCACCCGTATGAAATAGCCAGCATTCTCACGTGACTTAGGTCTGATTGAGCAAGTGTGAGACATGCTTGGCCGACGAGTTTGACCGTCTACCACCTACACTTGTATCCGAACTTCAGAGAGCATTGTTTGCTGAATGGAGTAATCTTGACAAAGATCAGCTCGATGATTTGATACTGAGCATGGCAGGGTGTTATATTGACTGTGTTTTATTGCATGGGAGGAATACAATATTTTAACCATCATACCAATAATCTAATAATAAATTTTAGTAAGGGGATAGTCTTTAATTGCTCCAGGTAGCGAAAATCGCAATTTATATTAATGGTATAATCATACATCCATCTTTTTTGTTCCTTATCTTTTGTTTAATAAATGGTTCTTTCTTATGAATGAAATGAATAAGTCACGTTTGTATTGTTTTTGAATCTTTTTTTTGCCGTATACTTAATTCATGGACCTGAGTGCATTTTAGATATTATTCCGTTTAAAAGAAATATTAAAATATTTTTAGGCTTTTTTTTCCTTAAAAAAAAAACAAGTTACCAAACGTGAGTGCATAGCAATTAGAAATTGATCGGTCATCCATCAAAGCTTTTATCCATTTTTTAAAAATTTTAAATAAACTCTGGTCCTGAATTTGTGTTTTTCTAGCTTGTTGATTATTCATGATTAAATAATTTAACAAAAAGAAAGTTAAACTTGTTTTTTTCCGGGTTGTTTTTTTCCCCTATTGTCTTAAGGTAGTTTTGTTAAGCAAAGATTATTGGTTAACCGAATATAAATGGAAGTAATAAGCATTTTTATGCATTATGAAACATTTCTTTTACTGACATTTTAGCCTTAAAAAATAGAACAGTAAAATAGAAGTTCTGGAGGGATAACTATCAATAATAAGAATTATGTCACATGAGGAAAACAAGAGAAAGTAAAGTTATAATGAACGTAGCATGCCAATTTTACGTTCTCCAAATGACAAACAGGCTTGATGACTGGGGAAGAGGATAAAAATAGCTCAATTATCTTTTATGTAGGTCGAAGTTGACTCCATACTCTTTTAGCGACCTCTTGATAAATTCCTTGGAATGCATGGATGCCCTTTGATCATCTCACACCATCTTTTCTTACAATGTGCATTCTATACCAAAGGTTAGAAAATGTGACTTCGGACATAATCATGATCTAGAAGTTTTTTTCTTTTCTTCCTTCCTTGAATTAAAGAAGAATTTCGGAAATGAAACTATCTTCTTGAAGTACCAAGAATTGTTAGCTAGTGTTGATTACTATCTCTTGCTGGTTGAATTTGATATTCGGGTTTTTCGCTCAATTATTATTGTGAAAAAAAATTAATCAGACAGTTGTGGTTTTAGGATATTCTTATTGTATAAACGATATTTTTATACCTAATTTCATTTGTAAAAGTGCTTAAATGGTCAAAATTATTCGCAGTTTTGGTTTCATTTCTTAAATTTTAATGAATGTGTAACGTAATTAGTCTTCAAGGTTCTGTAAGCACTTAAAATAACAGAACTTTTTTGATGGGTATAAATTTCATATTTCCAGCTGTTTTTGCAAAATAGTTTGAATGTACGTATTTTATTTAAATAAACTGCTTTTACATTTATTACTTTTATATTTTTATCGATTAATATTTCAAAAGGGAGTAAAAGAATTTGAAAAATATTTTGTTGCATTTTGTTATGAATTCCGATTAAAATCGTGTGCGCATTATTTGATTGTTGTCCTTAAGAATTAAAATAAAAAATAAAACGAAATGCTCATATTCTGGTGTAAAAGTAGAGTTTAAATATTTGCAAGCTTAATTGTTTGGCATGCATTTTTTCCTTAAGTTCATTTCCTGCAACAATGAATAAGTACTTTTTTAAGATTATATTTTATGGTTCATTATAATCTTTAGACCTTTGTCATTGTGGTGTGATCTTTTTGAACTCAGTTATTATGGTCTGTAATGTGCAATTTATGAATCATTTTGTCTTTGGATTTTCCTTATCACGTCACGCGCTACCCCTTATCTGTTCATTTTTACTCCATTCGCGAGTATTTCGTATTGAATCTCTATTTACAAAAAGGTGATGTAAATAATACGGAATGGTAGAATGAAATATTGTAAATTTAAAAGAAAAAGTCTTTTGATGCAACTAATTTTATTTTATTTATTTTAATTATTCTTGTATAGTTAACGTGTTATACAAGCGAAATGTAATTTTTAATATAAATATTGTACAAATTTAAATTTCTAAATTTCATTTAGCTGTAATTGTGGAAGTATGAAAACTTTTAATAATTTGTACAGTTGTAAAAAAAAAATTATGACTGAACTGTATATGTTAACTTCCTTGTTAACTTTGGATTCTTTGTATTTTTCGTGTATTTCTTGGGCATATTTTAAATTTAATTTTTACAGTAGAATCCCCCTTTTTTAATACTGTTAAATGAATATTTTACATACAATATATGAATTAAATTGTTACTTTGAAACATATGCGTTTCAAAAAACGAACGTTTTGGAAGCTACATTTAGCTGAAATAATTATAACATGAAGATTCAATTAGAATCTTCTAAAATATGTAAGACTAAGTTTTAGATATTAGTTTATAATCTTATTTCCTTTCTTATCATTGGAAATTGACATTTCTATATTATATTGAAGGTATTTAGGTATTGAAAACCGTTCATATATTGGACATACCTTAGTGTATTTATAAAAATTAAAATCTCCGGACAAAAAATTTCTTCAAATTTGAAGTCTTCAAAATAATCTAAAAATTTTTTTTTGTATACTTCTTTAGCTACACTTATTAATATCTTATAGACAGCAGTGTAGTTTATTGACATTTGCTCAAAAAAAAAAAATAAATAGAAATTCACCAAATCTTGAATGCCAGGAAAATGACATATTACCTTAGAAGTTTAAAAAAAAGTCATTTTAAGTTAATAGTAAGTAACTCAACTTAAGCCTTTATGTTAGATGAACCATAAATTGCTTAAATTAATTCTTTTTATCCACTGTAGAAAGAAACAAAAAAATTTTTGTTGCTGATATGTACAGAATAAAATTGTGTATAATAATCAATCATTAAATAAATAAATAACTTTGATTACATCCAAGCATATTACAATCATACATAAACTTGGTATTAGGTTAATATTTGCTTTCCCTCTTTACAGTATTAGCAGTTAAAAAGAATTTCTGGTAACACTTCAATGTCCTGGCATTCATAAGCCAGGAAAATGACAGCCAGGATAATGACAAATTCGCCATTTTATAGCATATAACTTTACTTTAATTTAATATTTTGGCCGAAGACGTTTATATTCTGCAGAAAACAACAGTATTTCTTAAAATAACTCAGATAAATCTATGTAGTTTTTGTTATTAATGATTTCAAGAAGCCAGGAAAATGACAGCATAAAAACCTACTCACCTTGAAAAATTTTTTGAAATAGATTTTGAGCCAGAAAATTGGTTCTTTATTCATGCAACAAGACATGTTCAGATAGGAGGGTATCTAATCAATCTATTAACATAAGATATTGATTCCTGGCGCTATCTATTTTGGTTATAAATCACTAAATAAAAGTAGCCAGGAAAATGACAGATTTTCATGGGACAAACAAATTATTGACAGAAAAAATTATTTTAAACGAAGTTTTAGTAAACAATACCCTCTGCTTATATTCCAGAAATGCTTACATAAGATAAGATAAAAAAAATTAGATTTTGAAAAAAGTATGGGAAGTTTTGAAGCTAGTTATTATTGGAAATATTGTTTAGGACATGCCAGGAAAATGACATTTTGATATTCAATAAAATTTTTTAAGTGTACAAAACAGTCAATGCTAGTGCAAAGTCATTTTAAAATACTGACAGCAATGCTATTTATTAATTTTTTTTTAAAGAAAAGTTCTTTTAGTATTATAGTATTAGAGTTTGGAGCAAGGGACAGTGAATTTCATGTTTCGTGAGAATCTGAATCACCCTTATATTCCAAATTGTTGATTTGTGTTTTAGATGTTCTGGTCAACATCAGGTTGTTTATTTTGAAATAAATTGAAAGGTGTTAAAAATACATTAGTTTCATTTTAAACTTTTGCAGTTAACCTTATCTACTTTTTTTTTCGGAAGATAAAAACACTTCATCCCCCCACCTATTGTAAAACGTAATTTTATCATGAGTGAAATCGTAAATAAACGTATATTGTCATAAAGCAACTTAAACGTCTTTTATCCATTCAGAATATGTCATCTGTCATTGCAAGGATCGCGCGATTTTTCCTCAGCGTTCAAAGTCCTCGTCTCGTGTTTTTCTGGGGAAGGGAGGAAAGTACGCATTTCAATTAACGTTTTGATAGGTTAATGTTGAAATTGCTGTGGGGCAGCTGATATCATTATTTCAACCTTTGGAGCACTTGTTTTTGTAGGTTCGATCTCTCTTTATATCTAGAGAGGATGAAGTCAAGAAGTTTCATTTCCTAGTTATTTTCGGCATCGTACGTTACTTCCACAAATAGAAAGGCCGCGTTTGTTCTTTTTGTTCCCTTGTTTTAAACTAGAGGTTGCCTGTGTCTGTCCTGTAAAGATGTCACAGCTAGTGAAAATTCCTTGGTTTTCTGGTATGTTCACTTTTTTTTTCTCAAGATGTTAGTTATTTTGGCTTATCATTTCTTAAAATAAATATTGCGGTACATGGTCGTTATGTACGGAATTTTATTTCGTATTCAAAAGTAGCTTGATGAGAAAGTTTAAAATAAAAGATAATGGGTGGTCATTTTATTTAGATATTTTTTTTCGTCAATCTGAAGATTTTTTCTTCTTGAACTCGTGATTCAAACATATTTGCAAATTCATTAAGGATAGCTTTGGTTTAGTACCGCAAATCATAAGCACAATTTGGTACTTTACGTTTTAGTCCTTAGTATTAATTTATTTTCGGAGTTCAGTAATAACTGCTAGAGCAGCGCAAATTAGATAAAAATAAGTTGAATTGTTAACTTTAAAAAATGATTCAGATTTATTTACTTTCGTTTGTTTTGAAAGTTTCTTTTTTTAATATTTGATCTATTTTTTGTTGCTTAAAATATTTCTGTGCTAAGATTTATTAAAATTGAAATGCTATTTACTTTGTTCTATTTTTAAATAGTTATATCGAACTCTTAAAGCTAAGAAAAATACTATGTTATTAAAAGTTCCTATCTTTTTCCCATACCAATTTTAAATTGAATTCAGGTTATAGTTGATAATTTCGATTTTTTTTTTCTCCGCTAATTTTAATAGAAAAGATTGTACTTTTTTATTCTGATATATTTAATTAAAAAAATTTCTTAATATTCAGAATACATTTCTTACTCCTTTGTACCACTTAGGTAACTTTTAACATTTTATAACAGAATTGTAAATTTTTACAAAACGTAGTTATTTTTGCTCATAACATATGTTTGTTATCTAACAATCGAGGGTTTGTGAATTTGCATGTAAGCATCTATAGAAGTTACATCTTTCTACATGGTTTTCCCTGTGCAAAACTCGACACGTATTCATCATTCTTAATTTGAGTGACAGGTGTTTTTTTTTTCTTTCTTTCCATCATTTCTGGCCTCCTTATTTTGATAGTCTTGATTGTGTTGAATTTGTTTTGTATGAAAAACATGGAGATTTTTTTTTCCCTTCTGGCATATGTTAATACTAAGTGAAGGAAAGGATGTAGAATGACATCGAATTTTCTAACGACGATTTTACATCTACAGTGCAAATGAAATATGATCGCCAAGTTAAGAAATAAAAAATTGCTTTTAACATTTTATTTTTGTTTTGGTAGACGAAACTCGGAGCTTTATTTCTCGAATTTCTGATTTTAGATTATTGCAATATGTCTAAATCTCCCTATAGATTTTTTTAAAAAACCTATCTAGTGTACGTAGGAAATTTATTTTTTAAAGACAATTAAACTAATTTACTTTATCAAATCTATCATGGTGTATAGTGCGCAAAAAAATAAATAAAAACACGGACCACCTTAATTATTTTCTGATCTAAAAATCGGATCTTCATGCTAGGACTCAAAATTAATGGTTTCTGTAGTTTGGTCTGGACTGCGATCCAAAATTTGTACTCCTTAATGTCAATGTTAATGTTTGCGTATTTCAAAATTTATCGAACATTTTAGGCAAATTTAAAATTTTTTTACGCAGTTTTAAAATTTGCTTATCCAAAGGTATTGCCCTACATTTGGGGGTCAGAATTACAAATCCGTCTAAAAAATGCATGTTTATTCAGAGAAAATATGTTTTTGTGTCTGATTTTGTGGATTAAAATATTGTCTGCTTTAATTAGCATTTTATATTTTATTGTATAACCGACGTTGAGCAGCCGACCTAATTTTTAAGTTTACTACTACTAATGTTCAACTCCGTAGCCTGGTAATTTTGAGCCCAATCCAGAAGACAAGGGAACTCCTGGATCAAGTAAGCGAGAAATTTGCTTTCGTGGAGGACTTTTTAATGAAACTAACCCGCATTTATGTTACATGGAGAGGAAAACCACGAAAACCTCCCACGGTAAGCCTGACAACAAAAAGGGAATCTAATCCATGATCCGTCTACCACAGAGTCATGTCAGTGCGAGCCGAGCGGGAAATTTATCTAGCAACCTTCACTGGGAACGTGAATATCCAATCATAAGTTTAAGTTATTCAGAATGGTTCATTTATATGTATAATCTCAAACACATCTTGTTATTTATTATGAATTTGTTAAGAGGTGTTCTGTGGGAATATTTATCTTTGACTTCTAAAATTCTAATTCTTACCGCAATTTAGTTGTATGGAAATTCTGTTATATCGTAACATNTGTTTTTGTGTCTGATTTTGTGGATTAAAATATTGTCTGCTTTAATTAGCATTTTATATTTTATTTTATAACCGTCGTTCAACAGCCGACCTAATTTTTAAGTTTACTACTACTAATGTTAAACTCCGTAGCCTTGTAATTTTGAGCCCAATCCAGAAGACAAGGGAACTCCTGGATCAAGTAAGCGAGAAATTTGCTTTCGTGGAGGACTTTTTGATAGAACTAACGCATTTGCGTTACATGGAGGGGGAGACCACTAGAACTTCCCACGTTTAGCCTGACGGCAAGGGGACTCTAACCCATGATCCGTCTACCACAGAGTCATGTCAGCACTGTGGTCAGTGCGAGTCGAGCGGGAAATTTATCTAGCAACCTTTACTGGGAAGGTGAATATCCAATCATAAGTTTAAGTTATTCAGGATGGTTCATTTATATGTATAATCTCTAAAACACATCTTGTTATTTATTATGAATTTGTTAAGAGGTGTTCTGTGGGAATATTTATCTTTTGACTTAAGCTAAAAACCTTCTAAAATTCTAATTCTTACCGCAATTTAGTTGTATGGAAATTCTGTTATATCGTAACATTACAGCATTCTGTTTTGTTTGGGTTGCATTAATTTTTGAATTTTTCCTAATTTTGCTTCACTTTCATTTTAGTATCTTCTATTTTCATTCCATTGGAATTTAGTATAAATCGGTTTGTTTGCCATCAATGAATTTGCGAAAATTCATTGAATGCTTAGTTATTTGGAAATTTTATGTAAAATTAGTTAAGTGCACGCATTAAAAAAACTTGAAAAATGCTCGAGTAAATTTACCACTATATATATTTAATTTCTAATAAACTAATTGGAACTCTTATTATTATTATTTTTGTTTTTTTTTGAATGGATTTTTATTTAAATACTTCTATTTTATGGGTATACTGGTAGACTTGTCTTGAACTAATTTATTGTGTTTTAAAATCTAAACCAATTAAGTTTTCAATAAATCAATACTAATTGAAAAAAAAAACTTATTGTTGAGTAGTTGTTCAGTTATAAAATACTTAATTTTGGATACAATGATACGTGTCCGTATTTATTTATCCCTCAGGTTAATAATTTTCAGGTTGATATGTGATCCATAACCCCGAGGTAATCTTGTGATATATTTCTCTTATATTTTGTATGAGGTACAAAATATTCCTTATATTTTGTGCCTGGCACAGTTTAGCTTTATTGTTTGATACCTTGAGTTAGTATCATAGTAAGATTTTTATTTTTTGATCCTCAGTTTGATAAAGTACAGCAGCATCCGACTCTTGTGTTATTCAAGTCAAACCAATCAACTTACTAAAAATGTTTTCCCTCTATATGAGATGCTAATTGAACTACTGTTTGTTTACTAAATTGAACTATTGAATTGTTTACTAATTGAAACTTAGCAAGTTAAATTATAAATTTTTAATGAACGAAATTAAATGTTTCCATAATTTGGTATGGATTACATTAAAATTTTACAAGACTTAAAAACTAGATAATACAGTGACTTTATCTGAATTCAATACTATTTTAAAACTTAAACTTCTGGTAATGTTTAGCACAATTTGTTTTATGACAATAGCCATAGTTTAAATTATAATTAACTTCGATTTAAAATTTCAAAAAAATTAATGAAATAGAACTATAAATTATAATTGCGCCAATCTATACATTTATTTTTAATTTACCAAAATCAGTCAATAGTTTGTCCAATTGAATTATTAATTTATACAATATTTAAAAACTTTTCGCATCCTATTAAAATTTCTTCCTATCTATGAGTCACGTTATTGCCCTCCCCTGTTGAAATAAGTTAATATGAACTGTCCCTTGCAAACTCTTGAATTAAATTTCATCACAACAAGGAAATGGGTGTGTTGTCTTATCGCCAATGAGGTTGTTGTTTTTAAAAAAAGTGGAGTGAGGGGCTCCTGTTCCTCGCCCAATCCCATTCTTACCTGTGTCAATAAAAATAGGTCGCTTTTTTCCACCACAAATACTTCCCGGCGTTTCTCTGGCTTCTTGCCAGATTTTTCATAAACAATCGACGTTACGCTCACCTGTGACGCATCTTCCGATGTATCTCGTGTTTGGTGAATCGGGAGAGGTGGCGTGATTTCTTTTTTGCTTACTCTCTTAACCGGTGATTTTTGACACTGACACGTTGGAAGTTTTTCATTATTTGCCGTTTCATTTCTTTTTACTTTTGAAATCTTTTCATGATTGGCAATTGAATATATTTCCCCCCCGTTTTTTTACTTTGTTAATTTTTTAATATAATGAATTATTATTCATATTTATGAAACTTTTTTTGATGAAAATCACGTGTTAACCTCGATTTATTTATGTAATAAAATTTTTAAAATGTAGATGAATCGAGGAAAATTTGAAGATGCGGCTGTTCGTTTTTTTGAAATTTTCTGAATTGAAATTTATTTTTAACATGAGATTTTATTGTGTGCTTTCAAATTTTTGGAAATAGTTGGCAAGATATTTTTTTAATAGATGCTTTTGATTAAAGCATTTTATTTATTTTAATATAGACATTTTAATATTTTAAATTTATTAGTTTATATTCGCGCTATATAGCTTTTAGTTTATATAGCGTATTAAATTAAAATTAAGTAAAACATTGATTCCTGTCGAATTATTTTTTAAATAATGAATTCAAATTTGTGTATCTTACCTAGAATCAAAATAGTCCTAATACCACAGTACCAATAAATGAACGCTGCAGCGCGCAAAAAGGAATAAGTAAATAAAGTAAAAAATAAAACAAAAGCCAGTTAATCAGATTTTTTTTAGCCTAAGTTTTTTAAAAATTACTAAATAAACAGATGAATTTTATAATTTACTATGATAAAGAGAAAAGTATAGATTAACTGTATATCATTTACCTTATAACTTTTTATAAAATATTTTTTATGCATTCGTAGCTTATATTTTTAAAGAAGATTGGATAAAAACTTAATTTCGATTTTAAAAGATAATTTTTAAACATGGTGAAAATTAGAATACAAATATATTATGTTCTGTTTTACGTATGAACATGTTTGCTGTATTAGGAATGAATTGTTATTTTATTGTTTTTCTTTGACAAAAAATTTACGTAAATCAGCTCGCAAGCAAAGCAAATTTTTTGTTTAAATTTTTTCTTCTTAAAGATATCCCTTTACCATATTCTTCACTTGATTAAACAGGTGTGAAGTAGTCAGTAGCGTTCTTTCACTACTTGTTTATTTAAGTTAGTCAAGGACTGGGTCTATTGCCAAGTTTTCAGAATCTTGCTTGGTGAAGGTTAAAAAACATAGTATGATTAATAATTTTTGCCAAGTTAACTTCGAATTAGGGGAGAGAACTTCACGCTTCGTTTATTACACGCCCACGGTTCTTTTTTTAAGAGATCAGAAGTTCTGGCCTTTAATGCATTTAGCCACTAATGAATAAAATTCTTTTTAACTGTGAAAAAAATGTATGTTAATTCGCAGGTGAATTTAAATTATTGATGTTAGAATGTCTCACTCTCGTTGGGGATGTACTTCACGATTTCTTCATCTGGTTAACACGCGTCCCCCCCCCCCATTTAGATAATTTTTCACAGTTTTTGTTTTCCGTTCTTTTCTTTCTTTTTTGCTAGATTTTAAGTACCAATTGATCAATCACGTATTGCTGCTTACATTTAGCGCATGATATCGATATTGCATTAAGTATAAAAAATGCATTAAGTAACTTTAATTTCAGATTTTGTTCACATCAATAGTAGAATGTTTATGAACCATTTGTTATTAAATCTTAGTTAATTTAAAAGTTTAAATTAAATTCGCAACGTCGTAAGAAAATATATATTTTGAAGACTAACTGAAATTAAATTATTTGTTTTATTTAATAAACTATATTTTGAATATGTTAAGAGCATTTTCTCGTGTTAGCTTTTGCTATTTCATTCCTAAAAATTGTTTAATGTAGCTGAATTTAATATAACTTTTATTCAAAAAAAAAAACTTTGTTAAGAGCATTATGTTCCTATTTTAGTAGTGGCGGTACAATTTTATTTTGAATTTTTTAATGACTTGTTTTGAAATAGCTTCAATTAAATACTTTTTAGCTAAGTGTTTATCATTTAAGTACAGTTCCGTCAATTGCCAAAAGTATATTTCGGGAAATCGGATTAACTATTCTTTATAAATAACTAAACTGAACAAATTAAAATCTCACCAACATTATACGTTTCTGTACGTTTTTTCCAATTAAGGAATCTCAATTTTTCAGTTCATATTTCCCTCCCAATTCATAAGAATGATTGCAGAGATTTCTAAAACGGGTTATATCCGCTTAATTGATAAATCTTATTTCTTCCGTTGAGGAAAGAGTATGCTGATTACGCACTTTTTGTAATGCTCACGTCAGTCCTTGATACGCGTTAAAAATACGTCCATGCTTTATCTTTTATAACGTCAAATATTTTGTACTGAATTTTTTTTTAAAGACAATACCAGGGGTCTGTTTAAAAAAAATTTGGGTCCGTTAACGGACCCTTCACAAAATATCTTTTCATAAAAACGGACCCTTCACAAAATAATTTTTCTTTTAATCGAACCCTTCACAAATTTGTTTATCTTCATTATTGTTTTGTTAATCGAATAAACCCTTCCCAGGGCAGAAAGCAAGAAAGATGGATGTAAACGAATTAGGTTTTGTCTTCGGCAGACGATTCTTCCATTATTCGTCCGAAATGAATATTCTGCGCTCAGCAGTATAGGCTAAATACGAAATAGTATTTGTATGTTGCATCTCTTAATTTAGAAGCAGCAATTGCTGTTTATTTTTGAAAATTTAATTTTTTTATTATAATTTTACAGTGCCGAGCATAATCTTGTATCTATTTACAATTTAAAAACTCATTGAAAAAGTTTTTTGCAATAACCGGACCCTATTTGCACAAATTCATAAAAACGGACCCTGGTTGAAAGAATGTGGGTAATTTTTCACAATTTCACGAAAAACGGACCTTTCACAAAATGTCTGGACAGACCCCTGAATACATTAGCAAACACTGGTTGCTGTGCTTTCCCCCCCTCGTATTGATTGCTGATGAAAATATGCAGGATGTAATGCATTTTTATCTAAAATTTGCACTATATCTTGCACATTTTAAAGCAATTCAAAAAAGTTTTTTAATTTTCCTGTTATATATTTTTAGAAATTTTTCTCTCAGTTTGAAGATTTTCATATCACGAACTTCTACAAATAAGATAAATTTGTAATTATGAGACTTCCTATTAAGAGGTCGCTATAACAGGGAGGAAATTTTTCATGGCAAATTTTCTTTTACCACTTTTTGTATTTTGAAGTTTGGAGTGATAAAGTAAGCTCAGGTAAATCTAGAGTGAGAATCATGAAGATTTTAACGCTGAAAAAATGTTTTTCAAAAAATTCCAACAAATTATAGCAAGATTAACCAGGATTATTGAGTGGAGAAGTAACCCTGCTGTGATTTGTTTGTATTTTGATACTTCATAAATCACTCTAGATTTACGTTAACTTACTTTTTTAGACTTTAAATTTTGAATCTATCTAGATTAAAGAAAATTAGACATGCTGTATTCGTACGTCCTCCTTAAAGTTCTGATTTGATGGTTAGGTTAACTCTGAAGGTAATATACATTTGAAGAGCGTCTTTCTTATTTATTAATAAGAATTTACTAAAAAACAAGTGTGGAAGTTAAAATTTTTTAAATTTTAGTTTAGTAAAAAAAAAAAGTTTTCTATAATTTTCGTACTACTTGACCAGTTACTTATCTACAAAATTCGTCAAGAAGTAGTAAGTCGTTCGTATTTTAAGTGAACTAACAAGTTTCGTTTTGAAACTTACCGATGGAGGAAAAAAAATTATTTTTCATAGGTAATTGAATGGTTTTTTCCCCCTCAAGGGGCTTATACCTCTTTTTTGATCCTATTTCCTCATATAGCTAATTTTTAGTTTTTATGAAGGAGTGATGTGATGAAAATGGAAATATGGCGTGATTTTTTAGTATGAAAGAGAAAGTGTCCTTGAAAGTGGTAAAAGGAAGTGCCTCTTTTGTTCGAATTCACTCTTGACGTGTTGTGTTAATTGTGGTGGGAATTAAGAGCTTAGCTGGTACTGAATTAATATTGGTTGATGTTTATTTACCTAAAAATCACACTTTCAATCATGTCACGGTATTTAGTAAGTATTGCTGTTAATCCGATTTTTCAAGTCTGTTCTTAAAACAATCCAAATTACTAAAGGGGAAAAAAAAATTATGAGCATGATGGACGTAATGTGCAAATTTTTGTGGTTAATGATTTTTTTTTTAGTTTTTCTTACTGTCACAAACTTCGCTTTCTAACCATTTAACTTTGATATTTATTTTATACTTTTATAAAAGTTAGGTTTTAAGTCTTACCAAAGTCTTAAGTTAAGTCTTATCCTCAGCTTCAACAAATCAACCCTTCAATTTCGTTTATGATTTAAACGGAGAGATAATTTATTTATTTATGATAAATTGTGGAAGGCATATGAGCAACATTTAAGAAAATAACAGATTTTTAACAACAAAGAATTTGATAAATATTTTTGGTTGTTTTAATCAAAATCACCTAAGACATGCTTATATAATAGTTGAGTTGGCCCTATAATCAATATGCAGTTGGTGTTTTTTTTTGGCAAATAACTACTTTTTATTATAAAACAGTTTTACATTATATTTTTATTAATATATAGACAACTTGGTAGTATATTTATGTTTTAATTTTTAGAAAACCCAATGGATGACTATCTGCAGTATTTAAGTGGAACAGTGGGAATCGCTGCTCTAACAGGCGCTGCAGCTGCTACAGCTTTATACATGGCGCTCTCACCGTCTCCCATGTCTCCACCTGTTGATATCGAAAATCAATCAGCTGAAGTTCCTGTAAGTTTAAAATTAATAGACTTTCATATTTTACTGAGTTTTATTATTTTAATGTTTTTCCCTCTTTGGAAATATGAATGGTTGACTCAGTAAAGCTAAGCACAGATGGTGCTATTGGTTAAAATTCAGTGCAGACTTCCGGGTTACAACTTCCAATTAATTTTTATACCTAAATTTGAAAAAGCACTCCATCTAATATTATTATACTTGTGGTGTTTACAATATAACACGTTCTTTCTATTTAAACAAACGACAAATGTATTCGGAAAACTCCAGAAGCATGCTATGATGCAACCCAAAAAATTACAAACGATGATATTTTGCACAACTATAGCCAAATAAGGAATAACACTTGAAACACGGTAAACCTTACACTTTAAGAAAATTAATATCAGAACATAAATTGGCTTTCAGCTCACAATCAGCTAACACTTTTTAATTACAGGGAACTCTTACGAATGGTAAAATTAGACCTAAATGTCAACACAAATTACCATAAAATTTTCTAGAATATTAAGCCTTTTCACACATTGCCTCTTAAGCATAACATAAGCAAAGTGTTTTCTGAATTTCTTCCAGTTTTAGGAGGCTTGTTATTGTTTATATTCAGTCAACCATCCATAAAACTAGGTTAGTTTATGGTTTTCCAACCATCCATTAAACTAGGTTTTGTTTAATAAATGTCACATTGATTTAAAGCTACCTTTTTTAAAAAAAAAATTTAGTTTTCAAATTCATTCTCTTTTAAATGTTCTCTAACATAATTAAATATATTGTTGGAGTATGAAATAGGGTTGCTGCTTTATTTTTATATTCCAATAAAATGATCTAGTCCAATAATTTGCAATTGGTTATTATTAAGGCCCGGATTTTGATGACATTTGCATTTTTTTGCATTTTTGGACATTTTTTGTCTTTAGAGCATTTTTTTAGATTTATAGGGCATTTTTCTTTAAATTTTGGGGTGTATTTTGCATTTTAATGCATTTTTTAAAGTTTTTTTTAAATTTTTTCCAATTTTTATTATTTTTTTAATCAATTTTCATTNTTTAATGTTTTATGATTTATATTACATGCATTTTTTAAAAAAAATTAAAATAAATATTATGCTGGTTGAAATGTTCATCTGTGATACAAAGAAAGAATGGAAATTGCAATTGATGTATATTTTTTCTTTCTCTAATTGAGAATTTTTTAAATTCATAGAATTCAGGCGGAGCTCGTCAATCAAAATTAGCACCTCCGGGTGAGATGACTGGTTTTCTTTATGAGGATGCAAAAACTCTTTTGGAAATGATGCAGAGAGGATACAGGATGTCAAGTAATATATTTATTAATTTTTTTATTTCTAGATTTAATGAGCTATTGTATTTCTAGACCTAGTTAATATAAGTTAATAGGAGAGAAAGTTAGATTTTGGTTAAGTTTCCGAAGGAAAAAGTTTCGCAAAGACCAAATATACGCAACTTTTTAGCTGGGGAAATATTCAGTTTTAATTAAGCATGCTATTTAATTTGATCTAATTATATTGAAGATCTACTTCGTGTTATCTTTAGTAATTTTTAAATATTGTAACATAATATTTGACTGAACTTATTACATTTTTAATGTGATCTAACTTTAAACTTATAATTGAGTCTTTTGTTTTCTTAAGAACATTTTTCACCTTACCCCTTCCAAACAACAGTCAAAATGTTTCATGTTAATTAAAAGTTTAAAATTAATTGAATATTTAATTTTCATTTTTCAGGTAATGGTAATTGCCTTGGCTACAAAATATCAAAGACAGAATATACTTTCATCAGTTATGGTGAAGTGAGTATTGTTTGTTATGATGTATAGGCATTGTGCAGAAACAATATTTAGGTCTCTACATTGAAATTTATTTCTTCTTCAGGTGATAGAGAGGGCAAGAAATTTTGCATCTGGTTTGGTAAAGATTGGAATGAAGCCTGGTCAAGATTCTTTCATTGGAATCTATGCACAAAATTGTGTTGAGGTATTTTTTTCTTATCTAATTAGAAATAATTAAAAGCTAAATTGTTTAAATATCTTTTTACTAATATAATTTTTTTTATTTTAGTGGATATTGACTGAACAAGCTTGTTATAACCAATCTGCTGTCATTGTTCCACTGTATGATACACTCGGACCTCATGCATGTTCTTTTATAATGAATCAAGGTAAGACTAATTGTTAAAACTAATTGGGATACAGTTAAACATCACAACTGTTGATTTGATGAATTTCTCAAAATTTAGAGAAGCCTGATTATCTTATGCAATTGTTTTTCTGACAATGTAATATACTAATAAAGGAAAAAAGTAACTTAATGTATTTCTTGTCAACCCTTGATTTTGCCTAATATTTTGATACTTAAAGTTTATTTTCCTGATTGTTAAAGTATTCAAAATGTTACCTTAAATTAACTTTAATTAAATGCTTGTATGATTCATTATTTGAAGATGTTCTAAGAAAGAGTTGGCCATGCTTGAATCCATTTCTAAGGAAATGTAAAAGTAAAATATGCATGCATGCATAAATAAGAATTAAAATGTCATGCTATTTTTATTAAGTTGGAAAAAGGAAGAAAGAAAAACAAACAATTGCACTTAACAGGAGTTATGTTTATATGTGGTAATTGAATAGAATTTAAAAAAATTATGCAACATCGGGAGAAAATGTTAATACAAAAAGTGAATAAGTCAGAAAAACATAAATCCAAAGTTAGCGTTATTTTTGGAGTAACTGTTTTTAAATAATTTGAAATGTATTTATACTATTAAAATGCCAACAGTTATTATTTGGCAAAATATTAGGATTTTTGAAGTTAAACTTTAGGGGCACTCTTCAAGCTTGTGATATCAAAATTTTATAAAAATGATTGTAGCATTATTTCCTAAACAAGCATCATTTCGTAAAATAATTTATAATTTTATCCTTTAAGCATTGAACTTTGGATAAAATTGTGTATGAATATCATTGAAAACTACAGCTAAGATTTGGCTATCAAATTCTGCCATAATTTTATTTTATAGTTAAAAGGTTAAGTTTGAACTTTTAGTAATGACGAAATATGAAGATACATTTGGTTTCTTTTATTATTAGTTGCAAAAAATTCAACGTTTAAATAAGTTAAGCTCAAACTAGTAGACTGTATGGCTGGAAAAAAATTTAAAATACAGTCTTACATTTTTTGCTTTATAAATGACTGGTTCCAAATTCTTCTAATACTTTATTTTTCTATTTAGCTGAAATTAAAATAGTGGTTTGTGATAAAGAAGAGAAAGTTAAATCTCTTATGGAACAGAGGGACGAGACCCCACTACTAAAACACATAATTTTAGTTAATGAAGTCAGTGAAAAAATAAAAGCTTTAGTTGAAGACAAAGGTGTTGAATTGCATTCATTCAAAGATATTGAAGTAAGTATTCTTGCTTAGTGGTTTTATATTTTGATTGTCATTTTTAAATTTTGATACTGATTTGTTATGTATCTGCCCCCAGTTTTAAGAATTTCTTTTTCTCCCGCTGACGTCAATAAAGACTGTCAATGTGGGGTTTGGATTGCTCTTGTGTGTGGAGATCACAAGAGTGGGACAAGCAAAGGTTGCAACTTAAAAAAACAAACAAAAAAAAAACATTGAAGGTATTAAGTTTAACTGCACATGCTCTGTATAAATTAGCCCTGAATTTAATGCTCCAATAGTTTTATTAAGGTTAAGGAATCTCCTGGTTGTTTTGTTTAGTTGTAGATTTTCATATTAACCTTGAAGCAACAATGTCCATGATGCACAAAATCTTCCATATTTATTTCAAGTGTAGTTACAAGCTATAAATTTGTACAGAATCCGCTACACTAATGTTTTTTCAAATTGAAGAATTTCCAGGAAGTTTTTTAAATCTATTTACACTGTCCAGATAAATTAAAAATGTGTTCACATTTTTCGCTTTTCGACTTAAAGCAATTCTAATAGGGTAAATACACCGAAGATTTATTACTATTATTAGTGAATATAACCTTTTTCTTGTTTTCTTGATGGCACAGGAAAACTACTCAATAATTACCAAGGGGTAAGTAACAAAAATATATTTAAATCTTTAACATGATGAATACGGTACAATGGTGGACAATGCTACTACTACATTACAATGGATGTGCTTGCTTTTTTACAAAATCTTAGTTTGCAGTTGCGGTTACAATCTAATGATAAACTCCGCCATCTATCGGTGGTTCAATAACATGTATTTCTACAACATTAATTTTGAAGTGATTTAAAAAAATCTAGTCATAAACTCAAAAGGGGGTCTGTTCAAGGATAGTTGTAAAATTAAAATTGTGTTTATTTCATTATTTTAATGATATGCCTATTTAATGCAGTTAAATAATAGTTTTGTGTTTGTGTTGCTATTTTTATGAAACTTCCAGCAGATATCTAAAAAAACATTAGAGCTAAAAAATAAGTTTTGTGTGCATATATTCCTACTTTATGATATTTATAGTAAGATGGTAACAAAACTGTTGTCTGGAAACTAACATTTGATGTAGATCTACATTTACTTTATTTAAAAATTGCATGTTTTGTGCAGTTAAAAAGTTACTCTTATGAGTAATTTTAGGGTTGCAGTGCTTGATTTTGTTTTTGGCATGTTACTAAAGTGGCATTAATAAAAATATGCCAAAATTGGTGGGTTAGGGGGGGAATCTCCAAATATTGGTCTAGCTGCATAACAGATCAGTTCCACAATTTTTTATATTAAGGGAAGTTGGTATATTAAGATTAATATATAATTAGAATATCATTATTTAGAATTGCAATGTTTCTTGCTAATTAATCCAGTTCTCTAATGTACTTTATTTTTATAACATGTCTCGCTTATAATTTTTGCTAGATTATGTAAATAATTTTCTAACATGAGTTTTAGAGAAAAAATTTCTGTACCTTTTTTTTTTTATTACTCATTTTTAATTTTTGTTGAATTGATTATTAGTTCATAAAAATTAAATTTACACTTTTTTTTAATTGGCTTTTATGTCATAATGTTAACAGTTATTATGCTTTTTTTAGGAACTAGGTGCTAAGAATCCTGCTCCAATATTGGTGAGTGAATTTTTTAAATTTAATTTTTTGAGATTTGGTTTTAAATTTAAATTTTTTTCATTCGAATCTGGATTAGCAGATTATTTGTTAGAAGTCTTGATGTGAACCACTGGTTCTGTTAAACTCAAATGATGATAGATTTTAATTATGTTATCTCCCACACTGCACTCAAATCATGTTGATTGAACATAGCCTTTAAGATGTGAAAATTTAGTTATAATAAAATGTAATGAAGAAAAAAAGTAATGGAACTTAATTGTTTATTTGCTCAGAAATTTGACTTCTTAAGTAAAATAATGAATGAAATAAAAATTTTTTCAAATACATAATTTTTAATAGAATATTTTCAGTGGCTTTTATTTTCAAACTAAGGTTATTCATTTTTTATGGTATAGGGAGCTATTATTTTTATTAAATGTGAGCAAATTAAAAAAAAAAAGAAAGATTTGACATTAGTCTTTGGTGCGAAATCAAGCAAAATATACTTAAAAATCTGAGGGGGTTAACGTCTAGAAATAGTGTTAATTTCTTATGAGGTGTAATAATTTTTACTCATAAAATTAATTTTCTTTGAGTAAAGTATTAAATAAAATGAAAAAAAGGATTCTTACATTTCATAAGTTTTTTAAAAAATTCTTTTTATTAGTATCTGTATTTACTAGTTGAATATATGAGCTGAATAATTTCTCAGCTTATCTCATGTTTTTAAACTACAGATTGGTATTATTCCCAAAGTTTTTATAACAAAGAAAAAGTTAATGAAATGAAAATTTCATACTAACTTGCCCTGGTTATTAATAAACAGAAATAAACATGTGGAGCATTTATTTATTTTAGAATTAGTACCATGGTGCTCACTATTTAATTTCCAAAAGTTACCTGTACTTGAAGTTAGATTTAAATGTTACATATTATAAAAACTTGTTTTTCAATTTATGTGCATAAAATAAATAATATTTAGTGTTAACAAAGTAATTTTTGAGTGAAATAATTGCTTGAATATAATATCATAAATTAAAATTTATGTTTTTTGTTAGCCACCTAAACCATCTGATGTTGCTACAGTCTGTTACACAAGTGGAACAACTGGTGATCCAAAAGGTGTTATGCTTACCCATGAAAACATAATAATTGATGCCTCTGCTGTTATTGATCAATTGGTAATTAGTTTATTGATTTAAATGTCAAAATATTTTTTTGAAATTCTAATTCTTATTTTATGGGTACAATTAACTTCTTCCAGTCAATTAATTACTGTAAAAGTTAATTTCATATTGTTTTTATTTCCTCGTGGGAAAAAAATAAGTTTTTACCTCAGGTTATGTCTTGTTTTAAGTTTGCTAGGATTTCTCAGTGTTCAGTTTAGGTTTTAGTTCAACATTAATAAAAATGTTTAATCATGTAATTGTATTCACGTTGCTCTCAGAGTAAGATTTAAGCTATATCAAATAAAAAGATTGCACTGTTTTAACAAGTGTCTTAAAATTTGCTGTAACTTGAAGTGTGATTATTCAAATGTTACAGCTGCTTTCCCCCCCCCTTTGCTCTGATCTTTTTATCCTTAATTTCATAGGTAATAATTGTTTCATCCCTTTAACTAATTAAAAGAAATAAAGTGTAAATTTTTTATGGTTGAAAAACCATAACCTAGGATGGAACAATCTATGTGCAATAGAGGGTTAATTTCTGTGCCGATTAAGTGAACAATTTCCATATTTTGTGTGATTGTTGTAAGCATATACACTTTGTATTGCATTTAAATTTTTGAGAAAGAGATACTATGTCAATCTATGCATTACAATTTATTTCAAATTTTTATTCATATCTATTATTTATTTCAAATTTATATCAAATTCAAGCTTTGAATGAATCTTGTATATATGATTTGTGTTTTTGTTTGCAGGAAGTGTTTATCTTCAAAGCAAACTTAGCAAAAGTTATCTCAATTTGAAAAATAAAATTTGTTTTATCTATGTGGATAAAAATTCAACATTAAAGATAGTGTTTTGATAGCATTAAACTGCCCTGAGTACTCTTGCATGATTTTTAAAAGAAAGACGAAATATACTTAAACAATATGAATTTATAAATTTGTTGTGAATTTTTTTAAGTTGTAATTCTGTTTGATTGAAGTTTTGTGCCTGTCCTATCATTTTCATGTTTTTTTAAGTTGACTGTATTGATCTCAAAAGTTTGCTTTTCCCTCACAAAGTTACCAATTGAAAAATTAAAGCCGCCTAATGTGTTTTTTCTCCAATATTCAATTTAAGTTTTCGTATGTTTGTTTTAATTTTTAATTTTTTTCTTTGTAGGCTGAGTATGCACCTAACAAAAATGATATCATGATATCATTCCTACCATTAGCTCATATGCTTGAAAGACTGTGTGAAGTAAGTTTATCATTTTAAACTCTTTATTCTTAAATTATTAATTCAAAGTAGCTCTTTCAGTGCAGTATTTGTTAAAACTTATTTTTGTCTCAAGAATAAAAGAATTCATAATCATTTTTAGACCCCTGTATATGTTTTCAAGAATGTTTTGTAGTTCTTTGCAATGCAGAAAAATGCCATTTTTTCTGAATATTAATGAAATCAAAACTGCTATTATGCTGATTCCATTTAAATCTTAACTTTTTGAACAGATTAAACCTGATACATGTATGCTGAAGAGATTTCATTGTTAAATTGCGTATGGAAACTGCGTATAATTACGTATAATTACACATTATTTGGCAAAATAATCGCATTTAGTTACTAGTTCAGATAACAGCTTTTAGATGCCAAATTTGTAAAAGTTCTAGAACTAAAAAAACATATTATGAATTGTGAGATGTTATCTAATCTGTTGTCCATGCAAATAGTTATCAATTGTGCTTGGTCATAAACAGGTGGTATTTGTAAGTAGTAAGATCTGGGGGGTGTCACTAAGTCTATTAATCATACACAATATTAGTCCTAGTGCTGCAATAGTTTTTCAGTACTTTAACAGTATAATGTGCAGACTATTCATACATCCAGAAGCACAAACTTTTCTTTGGATACCTTATTTAATTTGCAGTGTGTGTCAATATGGACTGCTAAACAAGTATTTGTTTATTAGGTGACAGTTTACATCAATGGTGGAAGCATTGGTTTTTACAGTGGTGATATTAGAGTACTAATGGAGGACATGAAAGCTTTAAGACCTACTATTACACCTTGTGTTCCTAGGTTACTCAATAGAATCTATGACAAAGTAAATATTTCTACTTTTTAACTTTGTTACTTTGATTTTAAAAATATTGAATGTAAAGTAACTGCTGGCGTTTTTTATTTTTTAATTTAGGTTCAAGCAAAAATTAATGGTAGTTTTATGAAGAGATTTTTGTTTAATGTTGCCATGCATATGAAAAAGTCTGAACTTCAAAAGTATGTATTGCTCTCAAACTTTAGATTTTTTTGTTACTTTTCTCAACATTGTTATACTGAATATTGCTTCGTTAATTTATTTTTAAAATTTATTGTTAAGTGAAGTGTTTTAAGCTTAAGTTGTTGCTATTTTGTTTAACTCTTTTGACCGCAAAATAAAAAATTTAAATGTTAGTAATTTAAAAAATATATATACATTTGTTACTTGTTTGAGGCCAGACTTGTCAAATTTATGCTTGTTTGTGCCTAGCATGAATAAATTTAAACTGTTAATAAGTGCATAAATTAAGAAAAGAAATTGCGTAAATTTGCTATATTTGTTTGAAGCAGACATTGGGGAAATTTATGCTTGTGAAAAATAACTGTTGAAATTTTCTAAGAAATTCGAAAATGTTCGTGAAAAATAACGGTTGAAATTTTCTGAGAAATTCGAAAGTCTTTCCTTTATTTAATTTTTGATCAATATTTCTTAAATAATTTTGAAATTTATTTTTATTTCATTAAATTTACAATTTACTGTAACTAAAAATTCTCATAGTAATTTATTAAAAAAATCTAATTTCTTTATCTCAGCTTTTATATTTGCTCAAAACATAAATGAAATGCCTATTTTAAAATAGCTCTAATAAAAGGTAATAGTATTCAAAATTTGAGAAATTTTATTTTTACATTTTTTCTTTAATTGCGTTTTTTCTTTAAGAGAAATATTCAGAATATATAAGTCCCTGAAAAGAACTAGTTTTTAAAAAGCTTATTAATTTTCATCTTTTTTTGATAACTCTAGAGATGTCATTGCAAATAAGAGTTATTTTGAGCCTGAGAATTTTTCTGACTCTGATTTATTTTAAGAATAAAATCTAATATATTATGTGTTAAACAATTCACATAAGCTAAAGTACAGCAGAAAATTGCAGTTATGAGTCTTTAAAGTTGTACCCTGCAACCAATTTAAATTTTTTTTAAACCCCAAAATCTAATATTTTTAAGCTGATTGCTCGCATAGAAGCATAATATATATAGACACACAATTTTCATTGGTATTCTGCTGCTGAAGATTTTTAAATAATTATTTAAATTAAAAAATTAAGTATTGACACTGATTTTTCATTAGTAAAAAGTCTATTTTTTAAACAGTATTTATTTTTGAGTTAGTGAAGCTGTATTCAGACATGGTTTTAAAATAGTCTTCTATATTTAGGTTTATTATCAGAAATAACAGTATTTGGGATCGTTTGGTGTTTAAACCTGTTCGAGAAGGAATGGGTGGTAGAATTCGCCTACTTGTTAGTGGTTCTGCACCCTTAGCTGGAAACATCTTAACTTTTATTCGATGTGCATTGGGATGCGTGGTATGTATCTTTTTCATTATTGAATTTTCAGCTATATGTTTCTTGTACAGTTTTTAATTTTTTTCGGAATTCCAATGTTTGTTCTTTTTAATACTTAATAATAATTGTTCTTTTTAATAATAGTTTTTTTTTTTATTTTTTNTGTTTTTTTTTTTTTTTTTTTAGTGTGTGCTTTACTTAGAAATTAGGCTGCATTTTTAAATATTTATTATTATACTAATAATCAACTAATAATTAATACAAATTTTTAAAGTGAAAATTATTCTGGAGTAAGGTTATATACTATGAAGTTAAGTTTTTCCAGAAAAGAAATATTTTTACCTCTGTAAAATCTAAAATAGTTAGATGACATTATTGCCATCCTCTATTCAAAATTTTAACAATGTCAAAAAATTATTATTAATGTATATTCTGAATGATTTATTTAGAAGTTACAAGTTTATAAGTACAAGGTGCATAGTGTTTTAAAAAAGTGCTTAAAGGTGCTTTTGATTTACGTTTTTTAAAAGCCCTTAAAGGTGCTTTTTTCATTCAGGTTTGTAAGAACTGCTTAATTTTGTCTTTTTTAAAAAGCTTTGCCATATCGATTGTCGTTCTAAATTACAAAAGAATGCATGATTTTCACAATCTTCTCTGCAGTATTTATCAGAAACTAGTTATTTTATCATGATTATGAAAAGTTTTTGAAAATGTTTTTGAATTTTATTGATTTTATGTTTATAAATTAAGTGATTTTATGTTTATGAAATAAGAACTTTAAAAGATAGAAAATTTTTTTTTCTTATTGCACAGATTTTTTTTTTTGGAAAGTGATGATTAAAAATATTTTTTGAGTGCTTACAAAATACTTAAAAGGTGTTTATTTTTCGTTAAAAAAATTATTAAAAAATCTGGCAATGCATACTGTAGTAGAATAACTAACTTATGTTTCTTTTAATTTAATAATGTAAATTTTGTTCCAAGTTTTTAATATTTTTAAATTTATTTATTGATTAACTGTTGCATTTTTAAAAAATTTTTTTTTTGTCTATTTTAAAAAAAATTCAGGCACTAAAATGAGCTTTTTGAAACATCAGCCCCTTCTATCTTAACATTTATATCATTACTTGAACACTACTTCATGTTCAGTTTAATCAATAGTTATACTTCTATTTATTAATCTTAATGTAGTGAGTTTTTAATGTGTGTTTTTTATTAATGTCTTTAAAAGGTATCTGATGTAATCATTTTGATAATCTTTCTTTAAATGTTTTCAATTTAATGCTAACCACAATCACTAGTTTTTTAAAATATCTATATGAATATTCATATTTTTAATCTTCACCGTATGTGAACTACATAATTGTGCAACCTATTTCTTTTTATTTTTTTAACCTTTTGGACTAAATCAATCCCACAATCTGGATATACCCATGATTTTCCTCCTTGGATTTAATCTTAATTGATAAATCCATCTGATGTTTTCTTTAGACATTTATGTTAACTAATGTTACAAATATTTTTTTAATGTTAAGATTTATGTGGATGTATGCTGTGAATAATGAAGGGATTTTGGTGCATTAACATTTGTAAAATGTATTTTTTTTTTTGCATTTTAATGCTAATAAATGGACTATTTATTGTAGGTTGTTGAAGGCTATGGACAAACTGAGTGTGTAGCACCTTGCACAACAAATATTCAAGGTGACTATTCAGTTGGTAAGTATTTTAATTTTGTTTTTAGAATTTTTATTTAAATTATTTGTTTTAAAAATAACTAATTTATATTGTTTTTTAATATAGGGCAAGTTGGACCTCCGATATCATGTTGTCATATCAAATTAGTAGATGTTCCCGAAATGGAATATTTTTCAAAAAATGGACAAGGAGAGGTAGGTCTTTACATTGGTTTCAGAAAGTCACCATTATAATTAACTACCATTAAAATAGTAAATTAGCATGCACTTTATTTCTTTTAATAACATAATTTATTACATCATGTAACACAGGAAATAAAAACTAAACATCATGTAACAGTATCTTTTCATTGTATACTTAATGATAAGAATGGATATTGTAATATTATATCAAATATAAATTTGTAAAAAATGTTTTAAATTTTAATCATTTGCTTTTTTAACTTAATCAACAACAAATCTCTTATTTTTTGTTTTGTTTATGTGTTATGTTACTTTAACCCACTGACGGTTCTGCACGTAAAAAGTCGCATTTTAACCTGCAGTCTTCTCTGCATAGCAAAACCGGTTTTCCCATGTTAATGGATAGGGAAACTGTGTGTCGGGGAGAAACATTCTCCCAATTTTGCCCATTTCCTTAACCGCCAGTGGGTTAATTATTATTCTAGCAAGAAAAGAAAAAACTAATTCCTATTTAATGCAATCTGAAAATTTTAATGCTCTGTCACCAAGGGAAAAAAGAAAGCCGGAGCTTAAGTGCCTTACACTTGAAGCAATGCAATGATTTTTAAACTATATATATAATCTTGTCGCAACGAATTATCTGGGCTTTAAAACAGACAAACAATTTAAGTATTTTAATTTATTAAACTTTTTTTTAAAATCACCACAGCATTTTTCCGGCAACATTTGAGGACATTTTCCCACCTACGTTAAAATTATGAAAATCGCTGCTTTATTCTCAGTTTTTGCAAGTTTTTTTGAAGGCCAGGTAATGTAGCATTGGAGTAAGTTTTTTAATAATAAAAGAATAGACCACAGACTCTTCATTTTCATACTGTAGCTTTTCTCCTTATTGACGTTTTGCACAATTTTCTGCATAAGCGTATGTAGCCCTGACTTTAGAAAGGCTAAACTTGACTTAACATTCATGAGTAACATTTTCAAACTTACAGCAGTTATAAAGATAGCATATTATTCACAAAAACATCATTTCATAGTAAGACAGAGCCTTCAAAAAAAGCCTTAATGGTTCCTTTTAAGTTTGAACTAACAGGACTATAACATTATATTTAAGCTTTCGTTGTGTGTGATTTTGTAAAAAAGTATGAAATTAATTTTTAGGTTTGCATCAAAGGACGTAATGTGTTTAAAGGTTATTTTAAAGATCCTGAAAAAACAGCAGAAACAATAGACTCTGATGGTTGGTTGCATACGGGTGACATTGGCATGTGGCTTCCAGTAAGTTAAACCTCTGAGCTTCATCTAATAAAACCACTGATAAACTACCTCATTAGAATGTATGAGTACTATTAAGTTGATAATTATTAAGTATAAACTAGACACTGTCAATTTTTAAAATTGAATGTGTAGGATGTTACGTGTAAATTATGCAATAGGACTATATCACTTTCTTATGCCGAAAAATTAAAATAGTTGCTATAATAGAATATTTCCTATACCGGCTGTTCCTGAACAACGTACTCCTCTTTTATTTTATTTTTTTTTAAGGACCTAATTCTTATTTTTTTTCTCTGTTTATAATTGTTTAACAGGGTACATTGCGTTTTTAAAAAGTGCTTAAAGGTGCTTATTTTCGTTTTTCAGTTTTTTAAAAAACCCTTAAAGGTGTTTTTTTCATTGGGTGTTTTTAAAAAGTGCTTAATTTTTCCTTTTTTAAAAATGAGAATTTTCCTTTACCATGTTGATTTTCATTTCGAATTGTGCAAAAGGACAGTTCACATTGTTCTATTCAACGTTTTCACAATTAATTCAACCCCAATCTATTTCGACGTATTGTCAGTCCGTAGCGTATGAAAACACCATTCGTTTTACACGGTTCTAAATTTCATAAATTTTGACAATCGTCAAAATTTATGAAATTTAGAAGTTGACAATGCCAAAAGTTTTTTTTTTTGACATGACGGTTAAACAAGATAAAAAAGTCAATTGTCAAAAACTTTCAAATTCTGTCTGATTATATTTTTTAAAGTGCTTAAAATTATTTTTTGAGTACTTGAAAAGTTCTTAAAAAGTGCTTATTTTTTGGTGAATAATTTGGCTACGCACCCTGTTTAAATTTTTTCTTTTACCTTGTATACTTATTTTTGTTGGGTACCTCTGCTGGTTCTTATGTCATTAAATTCTACACTCAATCCTAACCAATGTGAACTTTTTTTGAAACTGAAATCACTGCTGTTTAGGATTGATTTACATAAAGACAAGTTGACTTTTTAGTGTATAATCATGAGACTTCTTGAACTGAACTAATGAAACTTATGAACTTGTTATTATAAGTGACTTTCTTTTGTGGAATGTTTCAGATTTTAAATTTAATTATTTTATTTTTACAGAATGGGACACTTAAACTTGTTGACAGGAAAAAGAATATATTTAAACTTGCACAGGGCGAATATATTGCTCCAGAAAAAATTGAAAATATTTATCTATCTAGCACTTACGTTTCTCAGATATTTGTACATGGAGAAAGTTTACAGGTTTGTGTTTAATTTCTTAGATTTTTAATAGTTTTAAAATTGTTTCCAGTAACTTGAAATACAGTTAGTAAGTTCTACTTTAAAAAAAAAAGAAAGAAAAGAAATGCAAAAAAAGTTAACATTTAGTTTAAAACAAACATTTAGATCTAATTTTTTTAATAAAATTTTAAATTTGTAATCAAGTTTTTAAATGATGCATTGCAAATGATCAAGTTTGATGCATTGAAAAGATTTTTTGTATGCTTTTCTTTCCTAAACTCTGTATTGTTTAATGACGTTAATTTTTATACTTTATTTATTATAAAAAAATTGATTAGTTATATTAACACCTGTAAGTTTCTGCCATTTCTATGAATTTTAGTTGTGCTCATGAAAAGCTTTGAAATTAATAAAATATAAATAATTCCTATTTTTCTTTTTTTAACTCTTGAGATTTAGCAGTGTAGTATTAACTAAAAATTGATCAAGCTCAAATTGAAGACAGTTTGGAGAGATAAGTTACATGTATTTTATAGCATTTGAAACATATCGATCGTCGAAAATAAAAAAGAATTACCCAAATTTAAACTTTAATAAAATTTGAACTACAAAATCATAGGCAACATCATATGGGATCCCAGATGTCAAACATAAGGAAAAGTGAAAAAATGAAAAAGCTAGAACAAACTTTTGAAATAATATACACATTTAAATTGATTTGAATTTAGTTCAGTACATTTTAGGTTACATTTCAGGTTTGGTGTAGAAGCTTACAGTTTTGACAAGTACACAGGAACTATGGTACTTAAACCTAGTATGTCGTTTATTCCATTGCAGAAACTTCGGTACTTGAAACTACTGATTACACCACAACAGCATTAAAATAAATTGAAACCTTTCGAAGTTATTTTCTTCAGCACATTTGTTATATTATGTAAACTGCATTTATTTTACTCAGTATTTTTTCCTGTATTCTAATGATTTTAATTTAAATTCTTAGAGTTTCTTGGTTGCCATTGTTGTACCAGATAAAGAGGTTCTTATGAAATACTGTCAAGAGAAAGGAATTCCTGGTACCTGGGAAGAAGTTTGCAAAAACAAAGTAAATGATTTTTTTTTATATTTTTATAAACAAGACTGTTTGATTTTTATTATATACATGTTTGAAGGTTATTTAATACAAAATTAAAGTAAAATTAATCTAAGTGCATTTTTATTTAGGCTGAATTTAAATATTTACAGTAAAGTTAGCTGCGTACTTTAAAAAGTACTGCTGTAAACATATCAAAATCTTTATTATTTCGTGCGACTCTCTTATTACAAGAAACTTAAAAAACAGATTATGCATTTTGTATTTATGTACATAAAGGGATGAAAAAAGTTCCAATGATTACATCTTGGCTATTTGAACAGGGTGTTATACTGCTTTTTCTTTGTGGTACAGAGGGTGAAAAATGCAATTTTTTTTTTCTCTTAAGTTAAATTTAGGTGTTTCTTCCTTAATTTATTGTTTAATGTTTAATAATAGTTTCACTTTTCATTATTAAAAAAAGTGTATACCATTCATAAATGATTGCCTTTTAATGTTTTTTTTTCTACTTGAAGGAGATAAAAGAGCTGATATTAAGTGACATTATTTACCTTGGAAAGAAGGCTGGTTTAAAATCATTTGAACAGGTATGAAAAATATTTTTTGTGGAAGATATTTGTCTTATTTTTAATCTTTTAAAAGTCTATTTTTTTTTCCTAAAAAAAAATTTAAATAGGAAATTTCTTGTCATAAAATTTTGACTTCTGGTTGTTGATAAAAACTAGAATGTAACTTAATTTTTTTTTTCATTTAAAATTAAATGAAATAAGTTTTTTAATTAATTATTAAAGAGTAACATTTTATGTATATTTTCAAATATTGGAACTTTGTATCCTTATTAAAATTTTGAAATTATAACTTATTTTAAATATATAAGATTTCTAGTGTAGATTAGATTTCTATTGTACTAGTGTAGAGAATTATACACTTTGGTGTGTAAAAATAATTCTCATTAAACAAGTCTTAGTGTTCTCCAAACTGATTAATGTTCTCTTAATGAAAAATGCAAATTTTCTTTTTCTGAAAAATTCAAATATTTTTTATTAAGTTTTTTGTTTCTGTTCTTCCCAAAAAAGGTTGTGTACTTGTAATGTGTTATCTCAGTGTTTAAACTATAAAAGTTTTTTTTTCTTCCATTTTAGGTGAAAGATATTTATTTGAACCCTGAAATGTTTTCGATTGATAACGGACTGCTCACACCTACTCTCAAGACAAAGAGACCAGATTGTAAAAAATGCTTTATGGATGTTATCAATTCTATGTACAGGTTAATGGTTTAGTTTCTGTAGAACTATATGTGTGTGTCTGCGTGTTTCTAAGAATCTCTCCAACTATACTCGAACACTAGTTTTGAAAAAATGTTTGCGTGAAGGACCAAATCAAGAAAGACCCCCCCCCCTCTATGGAATGTGATCTTAATGTTGCGAACTGCAATTATATTAAGTATTCCTATTGATTTTTTTTTCCAAGTCCACGAAACATTTGAACTAAAATTTTGGATTGTATGATGATGTCTTTCATACATTAGCTTGCTGTGTACATTCCAGATGATAGACTAATTATTTTCACGTTTGCTGCACTCCTCTTTTCTGGAAAAATTCCATTTTTTAGTTTCGATATCATTCAAACTAGCGTAACTTTAAATCGAGTTGTCGTACCACTGCTGGCCGACGGGATTTGCGGATGACAGAATTATTCTTGTGTTTACATGAATGGTTAGTATTGGTACATTACTGAAACCGATGTAATAATGTGATATTGTATACTATTAATATGCATTGCAATCCATATCTTTTTTGAAGTTGAAGAGTTAATTATAGTGTGTTTGTGATAGTAACTTCATTTTTACATTTTGTTTTTGTTTCGTATCTGAGAAAAATAAGGCTTTTAATTAATTGGATTTTTGTTAAAACTTTGTTGATTAATTTAAAATTTTTATTGACATTAATCAAATTTTGTTTTAATTTATGTTATTTATAACTAGGCTAGTATAATAAGTTATTTTTTTTTGTCCTTTTACTTTACAATTGCTGTTTTTCTATTAAGTATAGTTTTGTGCTAGCAACTGTGCAGAAATGTGAAATGCTAAACAAGTAATTGAATACTTTATTTACTATTTGTTAATGTAATCATTTTTCTCTGAAGTTAGTGATTAACTGTAGTCCAAAAAGTATTTAAATGGCTATTTTCACATTGGATTTGAACTAATTTGAAAGTACATCTAATAAGCAATGCAAATTGTTTTAATTTGAATTAGTTGTTCCTTATTAGTTTTTAAGAAATATTTTTTTGAAAGACTTTTTGGTTTTTAAAAATATTTCAATCATTTTTAAAATTTTTATATTTAATTAGTTTTTGAATTTTAAAATAGAGAATAAAATATTTTTTTAATGTCTATGACAAGGTAATACAAAAGTTTTCATGCACTCTTTGTGCAATATAAGTGTTATGTTTATGTTCAGCTTTGTTTTGCATAATTGTGTCATATATTTCCTATTTTGGAAATCTAATGAGTGAGAAATTTGCTTTTTATTTAAAGGCCATGTATTGTCATATTCTAGAGCATTTAATTATGTTTGTATTTGTTTTATTTATTAATAAAAACCCTCAAAATATACTCATCAATTATAAAATAAACCATACATTTGAGACATTAGTGATATAATCATGGCTCATTTCAGCTTTAATGTTTTGAAATATTTTTTTTTAGTTTAGTTTCTTATTTATAGAATCATATACTTAAAGTTGTGCCCTATTTAAATGAAGAAAAAAATTAAGAGCAACAAAATATAGTATTTTTAAATCTCCTTTTAACTTGTGTATTTTATTGGAATTTAGTAATTATATGAATATTTACTTTTGTGTTTAAAGAATTTTAGAATTTCTTCTATAACTAAATTTCTTTATTAATTATTTGACTTTTTGTATTATCTCTCTCTAAGAAATGAAATACTTTTTAGAAGTGTAGTTTGTGCATCACCCGATAATTCTTTTTCAAGGTATTGGGCACTGCATTTGTTTTTCTTTTTGCAAAACTTTTCTTGTTAATAATTTATTAATTTCTTCCCCAGTGTTTCACTGTTTGTAAATATTCTTGTTTTTGTGCCTGTTCTTGTAACTTTTGACATTAAATTGTTTCCTGTACATAAATCTGTATTTTTTCATTGAATGCTTTATTTCATTTATTCCGTTATTCTACTGATTTCTCTACCTTTCATATATTTACTCTCATCAATCAATTAATCATTACAATCTTTATTACATTTTTAAAGGAATAATATTGGATACTTTGTGAAATTTTATAGCGAAGATGTACTAGGCACAGTTCTTATTTATGGTTGTCTGACTTTACATTAGAAATCCAATCAATTATAAATTTAAAAGCACTGTTAGAGCGTGTTCAAAAGAAAAAAATTACAAAATATATTAAAATGAAAAGAAAATAGGATATAGAAATGTATGATCTGTTAACTAAACCAGAATATTTTTTCTTGATTAAGGAATTACAAATCTCATCAGATGATGCTGCTGACTGAAGGGCAAAAAAAAGAAGTTTCCTGCTGCTTGTCAGACCATTCCAATTTCAATGTATGTTCAGAAGACTTTACATTTTTGTCAGACTGCGACAAATTGTTTCTGCTAGTGATAAGTTATTCAGAATTTTTTCTCAGAGGCACCGTCTGTTGACGAATTTAATCTTGAAATTTAGCTTGAAGAAGTTTGTTTAAGCTAATTCCATTTTTTTCCCTCATTCAAATAGTTAGGAATATCTGGTAGAATACATTAAGTATTAAAATAGTTGCTGAAGAATTTTGATAATTTGAAATAATTGAGACCGAACCTAATATTTATTATTGAAGATGTAGAAAATGGGTCTGGTTGCAATTACAAATAAAATACGCCAAACCCTTCTAACCTTATTTACCTTATCCACTTAGTCTGTCTCATTTGATTTAATGTGAAAAATGCATGGGGAGCTTACTTATCAGAAAGCAACTAGTAAATGGTAAATAAGTATAAATCAAAAATAGTACTTTTTGTACATAAAAATCCATGGAACTTCTTCCCCTACATTTACTTCTAAATCGAAATCTCTCCAAAACTAAAATCCTGATCTTATTCAGAGGAGCAGGATACTTAACAATTTGCTGTGTAGATTTTTGTTTGTGAATATCTAGTTTTGACAAAATTTGAGTCATTTTTAATGTACTACATAGAATTGTCAAGTAAGTAATTGGGATGGAAAACAAGATTTATTTATTTAACCAATGGCCTGAAAACTGTTTCAAGTTCTGTGCTATGGATAGTTTACTGCGTAAAGCCAAGCATAGTGGTGTTGGGAATTAAAATTCCTAAGACTTCTGGGTACTACCAATTTATTTTTTCTCCTAAAATTAAAAACCGAGCCATTTATTTTTATTATTCGTGTTACCCATTGGAAAATGGTTGTCTTTTTTTTTTTTCACTGTTGGTTAGAATTTCTGATTCTAATTAAATTAATAAAAAAAGAAAAAAATATCGTTCAAATGGTGGAATTTTCTTTTTTTCACAATGCAAGAAGTATTTATAGGATATCTCGGGGGTCCCATAGCTCAAAAATAAACTCACCAACTTAATGCATAACAAAAATAAAAGTGAAAAAAAAACAAATCTAAAAAAATTATCGCACAGCAGCGGTCGCCATAGCAACGCATGCAGGGATGCTAANTATTTCCAAAATGATTTTAAGGTAAACATCTTTCAAAAAAGAAAGAAAAATCCTAAAATCTTATGAGGAAAAAAAAATTTTTTTTTTAAAAAATTGCGGGAAAATTTATTGAATTTCGTTCCGGTTTTTTGGTTTTCTGGTTTTCTGATTTCCGGATAACGGGTTCTGTACTGTATTAGATATTTTGTGGAATTTTATAGCAAAGACGTATTAGGCACAGTTCTTATTTATGGTTGTCTGACTTTACATTAGGAATCCAATCAATTATAAATTTAAAAACACTGTTATAGCGTGTTCAAAAGGAAAAAAAAAATTACCTAAGATATTAAAAATGAAAGGTATGTAGGAGATAGAAATGTATGATCTGTTAACTATACCAGAATATTTTTTCTTGACTACGGAATTACAAATCTCATCAGATGATGCTGCTGACTGAAGGGCAAAAAAAAAATATATATTGTTTCCTGCTGCTTGTCAGACCATTCCAATTTCAATGTATGTTCAGAAGACTTTACCATTTTGTCAGACTGCAGCAAATTGTTTCTGCTAATGATAGTTTTTCAGAATTTTCTCAGCAGCACCATCTGTTGACGAACTTAAAGTAAATCTTGATAAAAAGCTTTAAGAAATTTGTTTAATCTAATTCTTCTATTTTTTTCCTTTCATTTAAATAGTTAGATAGCTAGGAATATCTGATAGAATACATTAAGTATTAAAATAGTTGCTGAAGAATTTTGATAATTCGAAGTAATTGAGACCGAACCTAATATTTATTATTGAAGATGTAGGAAATAGGTTTGGTTGCAATTACAAATAAAATAAAATAAACCCTTCTGACCTTATTTACCTTATCCACTTGGTCTGTTTCATTTGATATAATGTGAAAAATGCATGGAGAGCATACCTCTCAGAAAGCAACTAAATGGTAAATAAGTATAAATCAAATTATGTACTTTTTGTACATAAAAATCCATGGAATTCCTGAATTAATCCTTTTGTCTCAAGTTTTTACTCTCTGGATTCTACGTAAACTACATAGACCAAAGTCTCAATAGTTTGAAATGCAAAATTACTGCTCCCTACATTAACTTCTAAATCCAGATCTCTCCAAAACTAAAATCCTGATCATCCTTATTGAGAGGAGCAGGTTACTTAACAATTTGCTGCTGAGTAGATTTTTTTTTTGTTTGTGAATATCTAGTTTTGACAAAATTTGAGTCATTTTTAATGTACTACATAGAATTGTCAAGTAAGTAATTGTGCTGGAAAACAAGATTTATTTATTTAACCAATGGCTTGAAAACTGTTTTAAGTTCTGTACTATGGATAGTTTAGTGCGTAAAGCGAAGCATACATGGTGTTGGGAATTAAAATTCCCAAGACTTCTGGGTACTACTTCCAATTTATTTTTACTCCTAAAATTAAAAAACTGAGCCATTTATTGTTATTATTCGTGTTACTCATTGGCAAAATGGTTGTCTTTTTTTTTTTTTTTTCACTGTGAACTGTAGGTTAGAATTTCTGATTCTAATTAAATTAACAAAAACAAAAAAAAGGGAAAAAAATATCGTTCAAATGATGGAATTTTCTTTTATTCACAATGCAAGAAGTATTTATAGGATATCTCGGGGTCCCATATCTCAAAAATAAGCTCACCAACTTAATGCATAACAAAATTAAAAGTGAAAAAAAGAAATCTAAAAAAATTAACGCACAGCAGCGGTCGCCATAGCAACGCATGCAGGGATGCCAACTGCTCCGCTTTCTGGAATAGTTTTAATAAAGTGGTAGCAAATTATATGGTGAAATTTGTTAGAGACGGACAGTTACGCCTACTTTTTAATATAGTAACCAGTTGATTGATGCTTTAACGTTGCATTTTATATGATACTTATAACTTTTGATATTTAGTGGTGAATTAATTACTTAAAAGGAAAAATACTGAACTAAAAGTAACTTGAATTTCGCTACCACTGGAAAATACTATTTTACAAAGCGGAGCAAGTTTGCATCTCTGCGCATGCAATGATGACGTATGCACACTGTTTACTATTACTCTTGAACACAGTTGAAATGTGTGATGACGTCCAAATAAGGTGTGCACGCCATCGAACCCAAAAGAACAACCATTTTGCCGATCTGTAATAACAAATAATACCTTACAATAAACGTTCATACACCGAAATATGATTCTATAAGGAAAGTAAACATGCCCCACCCCCCTCCAAAAAAAAATCCATGGGGTATGATCGCCAACAATGCTGGTGTCATTTTTAATAAATCTTGTTTAATAGCACAAAATTATACGATACTTGGAGAGTACAGCACAACACCTAATGAGTTTTCTTTCTTATCTATCAATAGAGATGGAAAATTTTTACTACTGCTGCTGTCTATACCATGCTGAAATGTCTCGACCTCGTATTTACTGTGGTTTATGTGATTTAATGGCTGCCTGACCGATTTTAAATTATCACTAAAATTCAATACCTAAAGAACTTTGACAGTATTGCGGACATCTCTTGAAATTAGCTAAAATTTAAGTACTTTGTGGTTTAAAGTTCGTGGGCAATAGCTGAAGTTGATTACTATATTGTTTATAGCTATTTAATGTGTTAGGATTGGAAGAGGGGTTGAAGAATTAGAATATTCAAATACAGTTGTGCTTTTCGGCTCGGCTACCATTAAAGTTTATATGTTGTACATGATAATTTTGGAAGGTGTTTGGTAAATTAATAATTATATTGTTTCCGCATGGCGTGTGCAGCACGTCGTTAGCGATTTTGTGAAAGTTCTAACCGTGCTTGGCACGTCTTAAAAGTGCAAGTTTTTAATTTAAAATCTAAGTTAAATATAATATAAAGATAAATACAAAAAGATCTTTTTGTAAATAAGTGGAAGCTTATGTAAAATCATACTCTTACAGCTGTATCTCGCCAAAACATTTCCAATTTCAGTTTATTTGCGTTTTACATTTGTCACTTGTAACTATCTTCTTTTACAATGTGCAGAAGACAGACTACGAATGAATCAGAATTTTTTTTATAATACAAATTCATTGGTTTTTTTTAAATTTTAAATGCAAATTTTAACATTTAGGTTTCAGATTTTAGACACTTTTACGTCTTAGAGAGCGTTTCATCGCATGCTTTTTATTTTTACCCTTTCTATGAAAGTTCAGAGATTTCTCAATGATGAAATTGTTTTCGGTATTTTCATGATCAATCATGTTTTCTATCTCAGGATTGTCGGAAACTAAGCGAGTGGGTTCTGCGTGGAAAATCTTAACCTCTATTCGTCCGGTAAAGCTGACCGTGAAGTTTTCTTCAGTGTCATCTACCCCAATGATTTCTTTACAAAATATAACTTCTTTGTCTTCACTGTATATCGTAACACCAATATATACTTCGTCCTCAAATCGATCATGTGGTTCCGGAGAAAGCACGTGATAAAGAATTCTATCATTGTGAAAATCTAAGTACAACGAAGCTATGTGTCTGTCACTTTTTCCTTTAAATTTGAAGATGCTTGCTGGTGTTGAAAGAATTTCAAATGGAAATTCCACTTTTTGATCCAAATTGGCATTGGTGACATCATACACGTAGTATTCACTAGAAATTTCTCTACTAAGAGAAAAATTGTTTGTGCTGCTTTTGTGATCTATTAGACCTTCCATTGCTAGATTATTCGATCTTAAACGTGTCGGCTCTGCGTGAAAAACCTCCAATTCAGCGCGTTGGACAAAAGGGATTTTAAATTCTTCTGGCATTGGATGTAATCCTTCGATTAGTTTATCAAATATAATTTCCTTTTTGCTATTCCTTACTTTTACACCGCAATACGGCTCACCTTCATAACACCTGTGAGGATTTGTTGATAGAACATTAAAGTGAATTAAAGATTTCTCCGTATCGATGTATAACGTAGCTACATATTTGTCATTCAACCCTAAAAAATTCAACTTGCTGCAGGAAATTACCGATTCGTCATTTGCCAATAACAACTTTTCTCCTGTATCAGTTTGTCTAATTTCGTAAATGTAGTTTACATTAAAAAGTTCTTTTGTTAGAATAAGTGTATTGAGAGAACTATTCTTTTCAATTACTTTTCCCAATGCAGGATGATCAAACAGTAAACGGGTTGGTTCTGCATGGAAAAGATCTATTTCAACTAGGTCTGTAAAATTTATTTTATATTCTTCTTCCACAGTATCTGATCCTTGAAGTGTTTTGGTAAATATAACTTTGTTTTCTTTATTTCGAATCGTTATTTCAATATAAGTTTCTTCGCTGTATCTGAAATGGGGTTCTGAATCTAACACATGGAAATTAACTGCACATTCACTTGCATCTACAAACAATTTTGCGACCAGTTTGTCATAAGAACCTAAAAATGTTATTGTGCTTGATAAAATAGATGATTCATCATTAAGAAGAACAGTTCTTCTGCCTGTATTACTATTTGTTAGGTGACAACAATACTTATTCTTGGAAATTTTTATATTAGGAGTTCTGTTTAAATTGACGAGAGCGTTTACTAACTGATTTGAATATTCAGGTTGAAAACAATCTTTATATTGTTCTCGAAGACTTAGGCAAAAGCAGTTTCTTCGGAACATATGTTCAAATGTTTCAACTGCCAAAAGTAAGTTATATTTAGGATGACAAAAAGGTCTTTTATGTAAAGAGGACTTTTTCCTAATTTTATTCGCTATTAATTCTATTCTATTTAAAAATCTCTTCTCTAACAACTCTTTGGGTGTATTCTCCTTTTGAAAACCGAATTCATTTGCAATTAAATAATTTGTATTGCTATCATGATCTATAATTTCATCCATAATCGGATCATCAGTTTTTAGACGCTTTTCTGTTTCTGCATGAAATAACTCAATCATCAACGGTCCATCCATGTATATGTTATGCATGCCAGTCTCACAATTATCGCCTTCTAAAGTTTTGCTAAAAATAACTTCGTTTTTTTCATTTTTTATAATCACACTGACGTAGTTTTCATTTTTATAATAATCATGTGGATTGTTCGAAAATACATGGAATCTTACAAATCGTCTCAACGGATCTACGGATAGAGTAGCAAAATGATTTTCACCTAAACCAAGAAATTTGATTTTATCTCGTAAAAGCGAGGGAGCTTTCATTTTTTTGGCTGTAAGAAATAGATCACTAGGCTTACTGGCATGTACTACTGCATAAAAATCGTTATAGATCAATTTGGCATTCAAAACGTTAGGTGTAACAAAAACCTTGTACACCCCTACCGGTATGTTTGTAAAAATAATAGTTTGATTCAGAATTCTCTTTTCTGCTATGGTTCGAGACCCGTCCATTAATTTGAGCATATCACCAAATATATGATCAAATAAGTGGTGTTCTATTTTTACAGTGAAATCATTTTTTAATTTAGCTGGCCTTAAATCTAATGGAGTAACTAAGCTTGTTTCAAACCACAGATTCAGTTTATTTTTAATAATTTCTAGTTCCTCAGTATCGTTTATGAGATAGTTCAGAGGATATGCCACGCTGGACAAAACGTAGTAGTGTTCAAGTAGTTGTTCCTCTGCTATCGCTGCTTTTGCTAATTTCATAAACGGATACACGTCGATGTCGAAATCAATCGCAAAGAAATGCATAAGTTTTTCTACGAATGCTGTTCCACTAGCATAATGAAAGTGGCCATCTAACTCTTGGCGGATTAACTGATTAAAGCACGGGAAAGATTTCTGACCAGCTTTAACAAACATATGTAATAAAAATGATAATTTATGGAACAAACCCCAATCTTTGACTGGAACATCACTTCCAATCGCTTCAACAATGTCCATATCCTCTCGTTTCGTGCACTTTGTCGATACATCACTACCAAACATAATAGTCTGGTAAAAAACAACTAAAATATTGTTCCATACTTCACTAACAGATAATGTTTCATCATTAAGGCATTTCAGTTCATGTCCGTGACCTATTTCGTGCAACGCTCCCCAATTGGTAGAGCTTATATCCAACCAGAATGATTCGATTGATCCTGACGTCACAGCCGTACACCAATCACAGTAATAAGCCATTCCATCGCCACTTTTGTTAGCTTTGATGAAAAATCTATTTCTTACATTTTGATTGGTTGCCGTCTCTTCAAATGACAATCCAATTAAGTGATTATAAATAATTAAAATCTCATCATAAAAAGCAATTAAATCGTCGAGGTGGTTACCACCTGGTAATTCTCTTGTAGCCTCTTTGTCTATTTTTGGTATAAGAAAACCGAAGTAATCTGATTCAATGTATGCAAATTCTGCATCTTGAGTATCCCAAAGCATGAAAAAGTCATCCTCATTGTCACCAAAATGGTAGATCGGAAGAATTTTCGAATCGGATGGATAGTCTATACTTAGAGTGCGACTTTCTCTTGGAGTTTCTTTGAGGTACTCACAATCAACAAATGGAACACTTACAGAGCTTACACCAAGAATCGCAGCTCGACCTGGAAAGGAATCTTTAATTATATATATGTTTTCTGTTTCAGAGTCATCATTGAAGAACCTTACTTGCACTTCGACAAGACTTTTACTTTCTAGAAAACATGTTATTTCTTCGTCCGCAGCTACTATGATTCCAACAGGTATTCGATGATGGTTAAGGCCTTTGGTCATTGGAAAATCTTTCCAGACAGGTGCTGGTAGCCATGGTACCTGAAGTTTCTTGTTTGAAGTCATTTTAATCTAGCTGCAAGAGTTAAAAAACACCTTAACTCATTTTAACTTTTTGTTGACAAATTTTTTACTTACAAAAAAAAAATTTATGTATGGGGCTGGTGAGATTTGATATCTTTGTTATTTAAAATATGGATACAAAATAGAAACTTTTGAGTGTATGAAATAGAAATCTGAGTTTTCATTAAAAACAGATTGTTTTCAACATTAATAAATTTTTCTCCCAAATCTGGCAACGATCGAACAGTTTAGTAAATGAGCATGCATATTTATGTTTTTGGGGGGAGAGGTTCTGCATTTTTTCCCCTTGGTCTCAGTACTTGGAGTACTGTTGTGAACTCGAAGATGATCAGTTTTTTTATTTGTCTCCTAATTCAAAGATAATGCTTCATATTTAACCTGAATACATGGCAATAATCATTTGTTTGCACAGTAGTACTATAAAGTGAATGTGAAACTGCAGTTTTTCGGTTGAAAGGTTTTTAAACGATCTTTGGTGTAAAAAAAAAGATTTTTGGCAATGAAGATCAAATTAAAAAATTTATAGAAAAATAAATAAAAATGCAATGAACTAGGTTACTTATTATGTTGCTAGAACAATTGAAAAAATTTCCTGCAAAGAACGTTTTTATATCAAAGCCCTATATTAAAAGAATATGATGACTTAATTCATTTGAATTAGAATTTTGAGTGATGGGAGTGAGAAACTGGCAAACTAGGGCTTGAAATAATCTACCTTGTTGGAATCTTCAAAAGAAGGTCATAGCTAAAGAATATACATAAGGAAAGAAAGGGTAGTTTCCGTAGACATAATGTAAACCAGTCCCCTAGACTTTGGTATGGTTCCTGTGTATGAAGATAAAAGCAACATTTAGGGGCACAGCAGCAGATATTCTAGGAACGGGTTAGCACCCTCCTCTGCCTTCCAACCACTGCAGAGGTTGGGGAGGAGAAGAAGAGTTGTTTGTTTGTTCTGCATTTTTGCACTATTGATGAACAGTACTGTGCTATTAATTAAGATATTTCTTTGAGAATACATTTGTATTATCACTGTGGGTAGCATGAAACTCTTTCAATTATTTATTTTTATATTTTTCGAAATCTAAATTACTGAAAAGATAAAGTAAAAGCCCTAAAGACGTTTTTAAGCACATTTCCACCCAAATTATTTAATTTAAGTTTCTTGTAGTGTGTTCTATCTTCGCTCTTTTCAATAAGAAAATGTGATGTTTTTTCTTAAATAATTTTAAATAATGAAATATAAATAGAAAAATTAGTATTTACACATTTAATAATAATTTACAGATATGAGCATTTTTGGTATTAATTTATCGTGTAAATAATTGTGGGTTTCGGGTAAACTTCAGCTTTTTTTATTTTTGAAATTCTTTCAAGCATTTGTTATAAACTTTGTCTTTGGTTGTCATTTTTGTATTTATACTAAATTTCTACTTATAATGATGCTCAACAAAATTTTGAAAATAACTTTGCTTCTCATATCTCAATCTCTTTGAGCATTTGTAGAAAGAAAACTGAGACTCATCCGTATTGTAGATGTGCCATGCGCAAAATAAATAAACGGACCACCCTGAATAACTTTTGATCTAATGATCGGATCTTCACGTTCTAAGATTCAATCTGAATGGTTTGAAGGGATAACTTCAACTATCGATCGAATAATTCCTGAGAAAATCGAATTTTAAAAATACAGCTTTTTTAAAATTCGACTTCTCAGAAATTATTTGGTTGACTTAGCTCAAATTTTGTGTTTTGCCATTTGAATTTTGCAAAATATAAAATTTGAGAAAAATCGACCGAATACTTCCTGATAAATCGAATTTTAACTATACGTCTTCTATAAAATTTGATTTTTCAGAAACTATTAGACCAATTTCGCTCAAATTTTGTAATTTGCCATGTAAAATTGCAATATAAAAAATTATTTAAAAAAATGCATATTTTACCATTCAAAATTGTTTTGACTATTATTAAATAAAATAATAAAAAATAATAAATATTTATTAAAAGTTATATTTTGGATGGAATTATTTTTGGATAGACGAATTTTATAATTGAGGGCAAAAAATAAAGAGATCTCGAGATATGACAAATACGCAAAAAGTAAAAGTAGCATTAAGGGGTCAAAACTTTGGATCGCTCTACTTATACAACTATGGGGACCATATTTCCGTGATTGCGGCCACCCTTATATTTTGGGAGTCAGAAATTCGAATATTTCAAAAAGTAGTATGTTTTTACGGTGAAATTACGGTTTTGTGTTTTATTTCGCAGCTTAAAATATCGCAAGAACTAAGTAATTAGCATATTAAGGTCATCCACTCTAACCAGTAAGTTTGAGTCCTAGAAACTGAAGATCCGATCATTGGATCAAAAGTTATTGAAAATGGTTTATTTTTTGCCCTTAAAAAAATCTATTTTTAAGAAACAGTGAAATGTTCAATCATAAGGATTAGAGAGTAAAGCAGACACAGATGTATTCCGACATTTTCACCGAAAAATGAATAACGTTAACAAAGATAACTCGAAATTGTTTCCGCGAATACTGTAGTTGCGAGTTATTCAGAATTTCTTTTTCTTAATTTTATGGAGACAAAGATTCATCACATACCTTTGGAACTGTTTTTTCTTATATCTTTTCAAGAAGCTTTCTATATGTTGCAGTACAACTTTTCCATTTTTCCAAAATTTTCCAAAATTTTTTGTATGCTATTTTGTGAGCCACTCTTCTCTTTCCATTCATTCATTGAAATATATCTGTAAGAAAAAAAGAAAATTTATTTGCAAAAATATATATTTAAAAATGCATTTTATTGCTAATAACTCCAAAATGTTTTGGTAATCTGTTCTTCCATAATAAGGTTAAACTTATTTATAAAATTGAACTGCCGAAGAAAATATCTCAACTAAGTTGTGCATCGACGTTGGTGCAAAATTAATGTAATGCTAGATTTTTATTTTTTTTTAAATAAGTAGGAGCTCCTGTGCTTATCTTTACTAATCCTTGTGATTACTTTTCATCAACATTGAAATCAAGGGGGAAAAAACGATTTATGCACATTTTTTTAAAAATTGCTGTTGAATTGCCATCTGTTGCGATTTGTGGATAACTAAGAATTGGCAAAACAATAATATAGATAATAGGTTCCCCAGAGAGTCATTACTGAGTGAAGAACGGCCATGCAGTGGTAAAATAATTCCTGTCATTACGCAAATTCGTTTTTTCTCAGATCATTTTTCAAGGGCTTTCCCTACTGATCTTCTTAAAAGTCGATAAAAAAAATAGATAATTTAGTTTATAAAATATATAATTATTATAATTTTATCTAAGCACATCTTATAAATGTGTTATGGAAGCGAAATGAAATGATAACCGGATTTGAAAAAATATCAACCGTATTTGAAAACAAATTAATTAAACTTTAGGAACACAGATTGCGTGATGCAATACGTAGCAATAATTGAGGAGTAATTTTACTTTCGAACAATGTAAAACGATAACCTTATATCATATAACAGTTCTAATTGGAAACAGTGTCGATTTCTCTTCAATCTTCATTTGCTAAAAATTTTGATAATAATGTTAAATTAGGCAGCATCTAATATCTGTCTTATTTATTTTATTATTTACTCATTCTTTTTTTTGTTTTTTTTTGTTATTATTTTCGGCGTCAAGTCAAGCAAGAGCTTATGATCTGAAAACTGCGAAGAAGATAAATTATTCTACAACAATGGATAAATAATTATTATTTAAAGAAAAAATTGCAACAAAAAAAATCCACTTAAAATTACAATTTGGAACAGAGAGGAATTAAATCTCTTTAAATTTATCATTCAAAATGATTGTCTATCGGCACGACAAATTTCAACTCAATAGTTACATTTCAACAGGCCAACATAATTTTTTTTCCACCAAGAGCTTAAGAGTTAATGATTCTCAACTAATAATCGAATCGTAATTTTTTTCGTTCCATCCAATTCCTTGTACATTTTTCTACTCTCTTTAGTTCTTTCAAGTTTTTAAGTCTGACAGATTTTGAGTAGCAAAGCAAAGAAATAGAAAAGTAAAAAAAAAAAAATTGCAAAAAAAAGTACTTAAAATTGCTATAACGCTATAACTCTCTAACAAATTGAAAATTTGAAGAAAAACTGTTTTGCGTAGCCAAGCAAAGTGGAGAATGCGCAAACTTAGAAGTGGTACAACGGAGTACCTAGCCCAAAGAATCTATACTATACTATAGGCCACCTCCGTAAATTTTAAATTAAATACTGAATCAAAGGACTGTGTTATTAAAATAAATTGAATTGGTTAAATTAGTTGTAAGTAATTAATTAGTTAGGATGATAAAAAAGAGAAAAGAAAGCAAGGACAGCACAAATAGGGGACAATGCAAACATATAAAAACAAAAACAAACAATTAATACATTAGAAGGGTAGGGAATTAATAAATTTTTTTATTAATTTATTTTAGAAGTTTAATAATACGATTAATTAAATGATTGTTTAGTAAGTTGTTAGTGATAGTTAGATGATGAAGGTGTGGGCCCCAGTAAATCCGCGAGGGGAAGGGCAACCCAAATAGGTGGAAAAGGAGCAATGAATTTATAAACAGCCAAACAAAGTGTAACTTTTAGATGATCAACCAAAACAGCGGCTGCTCTTACGTTTTTTTTTTTTTTTTTTTTTTTTTTTTTTTTTTTTTTTTTAACGTAGTGAGAAAACAGAATATTAGTTTAATTGAAAAAAAAAAGCATCAAAATAAGATATCAATGTGATAGTTGAGCAAGATATCCGTATTTTCACCATTAAATAGGCATTACCGGAAAAATAGGTGTGGTTTAAGTTCCTAAAAACAAGGGATTTTTTTTAAAATTGTAGTTAGGAGAATTAAAAAAAATTTTTTTTTTGATGCAGAAATAATCGTGCTAATACTTTTGTATTTTCGATTGAAATAATATTGGTTGCTCACATATTCTGTCATACAAAATATTTTTATTTCACTTTTAAAAAATTTCGTGCTCGCAATTTTATTTTATTTTATAAGCGTCGTTGAATAGCCGACCCAATTTTTGGATATACGACTACTAATGATTATCTCCGGAGCTAGTTCAGAAGAACAAGGAATTTTAAACCAATCCAGAAGACAAGGGAACTCCTGGATCAAGTATTGGAAAAAATTGCCTTCGTGGAGGACGTTTTGATGGAACTAACCCACATTTACGTTACACGGAGAGGAAAACCACGAAAACTTCCCATGGTTAGCTTGATGGCAAGGGGATTCTAACCCATGATCCGTCTGCCACTGACGATATTTTTTGTCAGCACTGTGGTCGGTGCGAGTCGGGTTGGAATTCGAATTTACCAGCCATCGCTGGGATTCGAACCCGGTTCACCTCATTGGAAGATGGACGCTCTATCCCCTGAGCAACCACGGCTCTCTGTTTGCAGTTTTATTTTATAACCGTCGTTGAGCAGCTGACCCAAAATTTTCGGGTTTACGACTACTTATGTTCAACTCCGTAGCCTTGCAATTCTCCTAGGAACTCCTGGATCAAGTATTAGGAAAAATTTGCCTTCGTGGAGTACTTTTTGAGGGAACTAACCAACATTTGCGTTACATGGAGAGGAAGACCACGAAAACCTCCTACGGTTAGCCTGACGGTAAGGATACCCATGATCCGTCTTATGCTGAGGATATTTCACGTCAACACTGTGGTCGGTGCAAGCCGGATGCGGAAATCGCATCGACCACCCATCGCCGGGATTAGAACCAAGTACACCTCATTGGACGGCGAACCTTTTATCCCCTGAGCCATCGCGGCTCTGTGTTTTCAATGAATTAATGTGTATTTAATGAATTAAAGCATATGAAGAGATAGCCTGGTTCGTAGGGCGTTGATTTTACTATTGGAATATCATACAAAGCTTATACATTTTGATTTTTACAACTTCATCATCAAAACTACGCAAGGGAATGCAAGATTTTTAAAGTAAAAATTTTATAATTTCTTTTAGCTTAAACTAAATGAAATATCTAAATAAATTTCATAATTTTTTTTAGCTTACTTTTGAAATGCATGACAGCTGAAAGTGATTTATATTTTGATAAACCCTACAAAAGTATGTGAAATTATGGGCAATGAAAAACAAATATACTTTGCAACTAAAAAAGAAAAAAACACATCTTAGCAACTTCTTAAATCATTATGTAAAGCTTATGACAAATTTTTAGAAAAAATAATTAAAACACTGAAGAGCAAAATAAAAGGAGAAAATAGAAAACAATATTTTTAGCAATAACAAAAATTTTTGAGTAAATTAGCGCAAAATTGAAGATCGAATTCTCATATCATTACAATCTTGCGCTCTGCGTTCAGCTCACGTATATACCATAATAATTCTTCAATCAATTCAACTCAGATACTGAAGGCAGTTTTTATAATGAACCATTCAACCAGTCCTAACCAGGAATCGAAACTAGATCACCTTTGTCATCTCTTATAACTTGCACTTGGCTATATTAGCAAACCGTATATTACTCTATAAATTAATGTCGTTATTTTAAAAATAGTGGTGAACAACTGACCTAATTCAGCTCGGAAACAGCAAAATTTAAGTGTTTTAAATAATTGCCTTTCAGAAATTTTAATAAATATAGGCAATTAGTTTCACTACCCATTCATAAAAAACTTTTAAAATAATATATTTAAGAAAATTACATAAACAAATTACACAGCGTGCTTCGTAGGCACAACTTAGTACAGTTTTTCAGAAAAACCTTGCTGAAAGAGAACTAAAGACATGCATAAACCACTGTATAATTCAAGAAAAACAATCATATAGAAATCTAAAGAATTACTAATGATGAAGGTGCGACGTAAAACATCAAAACCTGTATGATTTCTGAATAAATCGAGAAGGCACTACTTCAAATACCTTCAATTTTCATCAGACAACCCAACTGGTTTTGATATTTCCACACCACCTTCCTCTTTGATGATTCGACAGATTTCGATAGCATGCTATTTTTTCCAGAGTTTAACTTCTAATAATCAACCCTTATTGTGCAGGTTTTCAACTTCATTTTGTCAGGATTGAACAAATTTATTAAAAAAAAAAAAAAAAAAAACAAGCTTTCGGAATCTGTTACATCACAAGTGAGGTTAAAAAACATCAAAATCAGTTTAATTGTCTGGTTGAGTTTAGTGGTGTTTTTAATAACCGATTCTCAATTCTTTCCCGTTTTCTCTACCAAATCAAATAGGTTTTAATGTCTTAAGTCATGCTTTTCTCAGCAGTAACTGATTATATTTCGATAGAGTTCCCCCCCCCCCCAAATTGAATATTATTTTGCGTCTCTTAAATGACTTGTTTTTTACTTCATTTTTCATAAAAGCTGCACAAATGTATTGCATATTCAGTAAAAATTTATTTGTAGGCTTTGAATGTCATATTTTTTAATTAGTATAATTAATTACGAATAATTTTAAAAATTCTATCAATTAAACTTTCTGAAGGATGAATAACTTTAATTTCCAATTTTTGTAAACATAAAAATTATTTAAGTATTATTTATTTTTAAGTTATAAAAAATATACATAACAGAAATAAAAATATACATAATAATACATAAATAATATATAATTGGAGCTTTGTAATAAACATAAATGAGACACACTTACTTTAAAAGATGAACAAGCAATCAAAGCGAAAGAATGCGGTGAAGTTAGAAAAATACTGCTGCATTATAAAAACATCTTATCAACCATCTCGTTAGTGCAAAGGTACTCGTGTAAAGGTATATAATATTGAGTTAACATAAATTCAAAGTTAAATCTTGATAACAATGTTATGCTTTAGAATTTTCCTGAATTTTATATAGGAAAGAGAATTTCGCGTATTCAACTTGGTATTTTGAAAGAGAAGTTCGACAATTAAACTTGATTCCAGAGAATATTTGTCACTGTAACTTTCAACTAAAAATGTTTATACGTCGGTTTATTTCTTATTATATATAATAAACAATAAATTTATTGAGTCACATGTCGGAAGCAATTGCTTTATGGAATTCTTGTGTACGTGTCACTTTAAGTACCTTATGTCCTAAACTCGTAAATAATCGTGTGGTCGATTTGATCAAGGACACTTCGTGCAATTCTCTCTTCCATTAAGAAGAAAAATACATTAAATTCCACTTTTTAAAACTATTTTCGTAGTCATTTTGTGATTTATTTACATTATAGAGAAATGTTTTACTGCAGAATAAACTTAAAATTATAACTATTTGTAATTTTGTCTGGAAAACAAAATTGAGTGTCCTGAAAACTTTTTTCTTCTCGCGTTAAAGTTTCCGATTAGTTCGGACAACTTTTTTTTAAAAATATTAATTTAAAATTTTAAACAATTTGTTCATTTGCTTTAAAATATATAGGACTAGGAATTTTTTAAAAAATATTTTTATTAATATTATTTTCAATGGACATTTTTATGTAAAAATAAGACATTTTTTTACATATACGCTGAACACTGTAAAAAAAATTCAATAGCCTGAAGCAAAACAACCTTTGAGTATTTTATTTAAAAGGCTGTCAGCTATGAACTAGTTTCGACAATTGTTTTTTGGAACTATTATATTTAAAGCAAGTGCGTATATGTACTACGAGTTAAGGATCAATGTAGTTAAAAAGTTTTTAAAAATTTCTGTACTTTTCTTTCCGAAAAAACGTACATAAAAAATAATAATATGAAAACTATTATAAGATACTATTATGCACCCTTATTAGATAATAACCGTATTGGCTAAGATAATAAGAGTAGAAAAATTTGTTGAATAACTATTGTATCTAAAATTATATATTCGTTTTAAATCTGGAAATAACTATAGCTCCATAGAAGAGCTAGAGGAGTTCCGAGAGTTAGCAGTTTGATTTAAGCTATTTTTTAAAAATATTTTTGTAATTTCAAATATTTTATAATTTCAGTTCAACTCCATAGCCTTGTAATTTTTGAACCCAATCTGAAAGACAAGGGAACTCCTGGATCAAGTATTGGGAGACATTTACCTTCGTGGAGGACTTTTTGATAGAACTAGGGAGCATTTACGATATATGGAGAGGAAAACCACAAAAACGTCCTGCGGTTAGCTTGACGGCAAGGGGAGTCTAACCCATGATCCGTTTACCACTGAGGATATTATTACGTCAGCACTGTGGTCGGTGCAAACCGGATGCGGAATTTGTATCGACCAGCCATCGCTTGGATTCGTACCCGGTTCACCTCATTGAAAGGAGAACGTTCTATCCCCTGAGCCATCAGTTTTTAATTAAATATATTTTTTAAAGCAGTATCTTATTAGTTAATGCTTCCACAATTGTTATTACGTACTTCATTTATAAAATCAGGGCTCCGCCGAATGAAGGTTGATCATTTAGTGTTCCATGCACGAAAAAAATTAAGAACCCCTGATGCACAGAATTATAATATTGATTACATTCCACTTTTTATCACGTAAAATTGATAGAAAAGCACTCTAGAAGAAAATTGTGTTGCTAAGCATAGACTGAGACAAATTTTTTTTTACAACGCAAATGTTGTGTTGAAAATAAAAGGAACACAAGCGGAAATGGTCGAGAAAGAGAATGATGACTATATTAGGAGAACAATGTTAATTTTTACAATACATTACTTTCTATCCTCACAAATTATAGTTTTTCCTGAAATATTTTCAAATGATATAATTCAACTTTTATTTAAATTGAAACAGATTTTTCTTACCTGTAGGAAATATTTTGCTCATCATTTAAGCTTATCTAATAGGTATGCTTCGAAACTGGACAATGGATTTGCTTATATGAATTTTTTTAAGTTTGCGACACCGGAAGTATGCGGCCTATCAGGAGCAAGGCCATATTTATTTTATTTTCTTTACTCTGCAAGAATTTAAATATTCTAGTTATGGACATTAAAAGATTAAAAAAAGTGTCTTTCTAAAATTATTACTGCGCGAGTAGTAATTGCAATTCCATTTAATTGTTTTTAAGTATATGTAATCTTAAGAAAGCTTTCTATAGGCTACATCAATGTAAAAGTTAATGTAACAGAATATGTTTTAAAAAAATGGTTTTGCATTTATTTTTAACATTTAATCGGCTAGTTAGTTTTTCTCCTCCTTATTACAACCTGTTTTCAGTTTTTTTAAATAATCGTTTTTAATGTAAATTTTTGAAGCCCGTTTTGTAAATTCAAGATAATAATAGCAATATTTATAAATTAAATTAATAAATGAAAACGTTCGTTCCTCGTGTTTTGTATTTTGAACTCACAATGAAATCCTTTTGTTATCCAACGAAATAGTTATGTTATTTCTCAGGGGAAAAAAATAAGGAAACGGTTATTTGTTTTAGAATGTTTAAATAATATGCAGATTCACAAATGCATGGTTATTGTTGTTGTTTCTAATGCCTCTTGCCGCCAAGCTCGCCAGCTACTGGCCTTGTGAATTAAGTCAGGAAGGGAAGCGTTTGGTTTGACAGAGAGCACCTCAAGGGTGGAAGTGCGACTTAGCTCTGAACCCCCAGATAGATGGCAGCACCCCTCATTCGAGTGGCCACTTTTACAATATAGACATTGATATGAAGGGGATTGAAATTTCAGAATCCTTTAATTTTAATTCTAGATCCCTGTATCCATGGTACAGTATAGGGACCGGCGACATGATTTTCAATTCGACAGTGTTACGAGCACTTATCTATATTCCAGAAGTCTTAGCGGTTTTCGAGGATCGGACCCCGGCACCTCCGTACCGATGTCCGAGGCTCTAACCACGGCCTAAATCAAGAGTGAAAATTTCTACGCCATTCAAAACATTTTCGTGCGAGTTTTTATTTTAAAAAAAAATGATAACATGTAAGTGAATCTAATTGGTTGCATTAATTATGAATGTGCATTTCAATGACTGAACTGTGAAATAAATATTCCACAAATCTAATATTAGTTACTTTCCTCCAATTCTTTTTTTGACCCAGAATAAATTTGACCGAGTATATCTTGAAATAACTATTCTTTATGTTGGATTTTTGACAAAACGTGCAATTTAATTAAATACAGTTTCATAATACTTCATTATACGACATTATACGATATAGTCTTCATTATACGACATCTTAGTTATACTACTTCATTTTAAACAAGGCTTCTGAAAACATATATTAAAGGCTGAGATTACGGGACAACCTGTATATACTTGAAATAATATTTGTAAAAGAAAAAATATTTTCTTAAGAGTTTGTAAATTCTTCAGTTCTTACAATTTTATCCAAAACTGCACACTGTATTATTTCTCAATCAGTCAAGAAAAATGTAACACAATGTGTAAACAATTTTATATATTTATTGTATTTTCCAACATTACAAATTATAAATATTTTTTTCTGAAGAATACAATTTTTTTATAAATACATAACGAGATCATTGTATAATTTTTGGTAGTTTCTTATTATTACTAAATCTCTGTCATAAATAAATTCTAGATTCAAAATAAATTAGATCATTTCACAATATTTTAGTATTTTAAGTTGAATAAATTAAAATACTAATTTTGTTTCAAATAGGTCACAAAAACTTGGAAATTCTTCCAAAAATTAGATTTTAATTTTTTAATAATAAGACGAAATTATTATATAGTAGTTTCACAATGATTTATATCATAATATAGATAAATATAATATGTAATTGGATGTATGTATGGAATATAGATTAGATAAAATATATAAAATTAGCATATCATTTTATCAAATATACTCATAGCATTTTGATAAATAATCAAGTGAATATTTTACATACAAACTGTATTGCATGGAAATTGAAAATATCACTAATCCTTGCATAAATATTTAGTATTTACTATTATTATAACAAAAATTAAATTGAAATTTAAAAAATACATATTGTGTTGTTTATTTATATATATATATGAAATGTTGAATTTATAAAATAATTAATACATATAATTGTATTATAGTGAGATTAAAATTTTTTGAAAGAGTACAAAATGTATTTGGTAATTTCACATTGCTATAGGGAATAAAATAATTTTTAAAATAATATTATTTTTTTTAAAGAATATATGAAAAGTAACACATCATTGGACTAATCAGTACATAAAAAGCTAGTAATTTATATTATTATGACAGCAGTACACTTGAAGTTTTTTTTAAAAAAACTCAAATTTCTTCTCATAATAAAATTCAGAAAGATAACGGTTTTTCAAAATGTGACAATTTACGGGATAAATATCTACTAATTTTAAAAGCAAATTATGGCTAAAACTATATCAAATTTTTAAAAGAACACAAATTGTATAGCATTTAAGGCATAGAAATATGACAAATATAAAAAAAATATCCAACAATTTTTTATAGTTGTAACAAATAAGTACTTGAATTTTTAAAGAAAAAAAATTTTTTTTTTAGGAATAACGTATCATAGGAAAATGATCTTATAAATTATAATATTTTTTCTCCTTTTAGCAAGCGACTTGAAAAAATGGTCAATTAAAAATTTTTTATGCATCAACTGAAAATTACAATAAAATTCAATTAATAAAAATCAAATTAATTTAAAATGAAAGATTATCAGAATTTGTAAGGCTCTGCAAGAGGTTTCCATCTATGCTTAATTTTCAAGAAAAAAAGAGCATTGATATTTTTAACTATATTTTTAAAGAATTTTATTATGTTATTAATTTAAGGTTCATTGTTTTTTGGGATCTACAGGCGGTGGCAAGCAATCTTTATATTGTTCCCTGAGAGCTTTATCAACGCCGTTTTCTCTAAATAAGCGTTCGAAAGCTTCTACTGCCAGAAGCAAGTTATACTTAGGAAGACAAAAAGGCCTGTCATACAATGAGATCTTCTTCTTGATCTTATTTGCTGAAGATTCTATTTTCGATAAGAAATTCTTTTCTAACAATTCTTTCGATGTATTTTTCTTCTGCAAGCCTTTCTCATTTACAATGAAATAGTTGGTCGTATTTTGACGATCTATAATTTCGCTCATCGTTGGATTTTCCATTTTCAGACGATTTTTCGGTTCGGCGTGGAATATTTCAACTTGTAACTCTCCTTCCATTGGTATGTCGAATAATCCAAGAGCAGGGCTGTTGCCATCAATACTTTTACTGAAAATCTCTTTGTTTTCTTGATTTTTTATCGTTACACTGGCATACTTTTTATTCTTAAAATAACTGTGAGGGCTACCTGAACTGGAATTGAACTGAACTAAATTTTTAAAAGGTTCCACAGAAAGAGATGCAAAAAATTTATCCCCCAGGCCAAGAAGCCTGATTTTATCCGGTGAGAGTGAGGGTACCTTCTTAATTTTGGCAGACAAAGTTAACTCGCCGGATTTGTCGGCATGTACTATGGCATAAAAGTCGTCATAGATAAGTTTTGAGTTTTTAGCGTTTGGTTCGACGAAAACCTTGTATACGCCAATTGGCACATCCTTCAGAATTATGGTTTGACTAAGAATTTTTCGTTCAGCTACAACTCGAGATCCGTCCGTAAGTTTAAGCATATCCCCCGATACATCTTCGAATATTTGATTATCGATTTTTACTGTGAAATCATTTTTTAGGTTAGTTGAACTCAAATCTGACGGAGTTACTAAACTTGTTTCAAATTCCAGACTCAGTTTATTTTTGAGGTTATTTATTTCTTTGGCATCACTCATAAGGTAGTTCAGAGGATAAGCCACACTCGATAAAACGTAGTAATGCTCCTCCAGTTGCTCTTTGCGAACGGCTGCTTTCGCTAGTCTCATGAATGGATACACGTCAATGGCGAAGTCAATCGCAAAAAAGTGCATCAGTTTTTCTACAAATAATGCTCCACTGGCATAATAAGTGCGACCAGCATATTCTTCCCGCGTTCGTTGATTAAAACGAGCGAAGGATTTTTGCCCAGCTTTAAAAAACATATGTGTTAAAAATGAACATTTGTGGAATTCACGCCAGCTTTTGACAGGATTACCACTTTTAAGTACGTCGGCAATGCCCAGTGACTTCATTTTTGAACCTTTCGCTTGCAAATCCTTACCTAGCATAATTTTCTGATAGAAAAAAGCTAAAACATTGTTCCATACTTCACCAACGGATAACGTTTCATCATTTATATTCTTCAGTTCATGACCATGACCAATTTCATGCAATGCTCCCCAGTTTGTTGGTTTTATGTCCAACCAGAATCCTTTTACCGTTCCGTATGAAACAGCAGTACACCAATCAGAGTAATATGCTCCACCGGCTCCGCTTTTGTCAGCTTTGAGGAAAAACCTGTTTCTTACATTTTTATTAAGTCCAGTTTCTTCAAATGACATACCAATTAACTCGCTATAAATAGTGAAAAGCTTGTCGTAGAAAAGTATGACATCATCGAGGTGCTTGCCGCCGGGTAACTTCCTTGCAAACTCTTTGTCTACTTTTGGTATAAGGAGACCAATGTAATCCGATTCAATGTAAGCAAATTCTGCGTTTTGAGAGTCCCAGAGTTTAAAGAAATCCTCCTCTTTGTCGCCAAAGCGATAGATGGGAAGAGCTTTCGAACCAGTTGGATAGTTTATGGTTATATCGCGATTATCTTCTGGGTCTTTATTAAGGTACTCACTGTCTATGAATGGAACACTCACAGACCCCACACTGAATGTTGCTGCCCGACCTTGCTGGGAACTCTTAACAGTAAAAGTGCCTTCTGTTTTTTTGTCATCGTTGAGGAGACGGATTCGCACTTGGGCGAGACTTTTGCTCTCGAGAACACATTCCATTTTACTGCTGGCTGCTAATATGATTCCAACTGGTATCCTGTGATGATTCAGGCCCTTAGTCAGAGGAAACTTAAGCCAGGCAGGCGCTGGTAGCCATGGAACCTGCAATTTCTTTCTTGTAGTCATTTTGACCAATCGACCTGTAAGAAGATAAAATTGTCTCAACAAAGCTGTTTTTTTAAACAAGTTAGAAGCAATTTTTTAAAAAAAAAAATTGCGTTTCATTTGCGATTTAATTTAATGCATACATTGCCTAATTTATTGCATACAAGTGTCTTATTTAGTGATTAAAAATGTTAAAAAATTTATTTATTTATTTCTCTTCTGCGGCATTAAAAACTTGAGCATTTCTTTATCTAAATTGGCAACACTATAGTCATCTATAATAATTCATTTTTTAGGTTGCCTTAATAATTTATGTCGTGCTTAATAATTAGTTATATGTTAAAGCATAAGACAATGTACTGTACATGAAAACAAACATTTTTAAAACTACTGTTATTCGCAAAACTAATAAATGTTTTGAAAGTTTTTACAAATCTTGACAATTTTGAATTATAAATATTTCTTTGGATATTTATAATTCACAATGCAGTACTGATAGAAGTACATGCCAATTTATGCATGCTCTCTGTAAGAGTATTTGGCTGCATTATCCTCTTAGACACTTTTCTGTCTGTTTCATTTTCCTAGATTATTTTTTGTTTATTATTCTACGCTGTTCTTCTTATTCTATAACGCTCTTCTCATTCTATTATGTTATTCGTAATCTATTATGTCATTCTTATTCTGTTATGTTATTCGAATTCTAAACACTTATTCTAAACTTTTCTTTCCCAGAATAATTGTATTTCATTCACTGAAATGCGTATGAAAATATTTTTTCCATTTTAAATATCTTACTGCATTCAATATAAATCTCAATTAAATTAAAAATGTAAAAAATCTCATGAAAAATGTTCATGATAATTAATTTAAGATTCAAAAGCATAAAGGCTTTGAAGATTTGGAGATTTAGGAGAACAAACCATCAACTGATTTTTCTATTTTTTTTTCTCGTCTAACCATTTATATGCTGGAGACGGGCTTTCTAACTTTCAGATGATTTTGTCACAAAATTCAACAATTTACCATCTTTTAACGCGACATATGTTTATAGAGTAACAGACGAAATTTTGTGGTCATTTCCATTTTGAGTAGGGGAGAGTGGGGTCAATTGCAACATTTTTTACTTAACTATTTTTAACTAACAAAAAATCAAATATATTATTAGTATTAATTGACAGACGGGTAAAGTAGATTATCCTCAACTTGAAAAAATAAATAAATACCTTATTTTAAATCCTATTATATTAGTTATTAACAATTTTTGACAGTCGTGCACTTGTTACAATTGTCTTCACTTACGGGGTCAATTGTAACAGTTCATAAATTCAACTAAAACATAGTTAATTATACACAATATCATAGTTGTGATATATTTTTTTATTGATCAAAATAGTAGTGATATTTTAGGAGTAAAAATAATAATGAGCAGAGACCTAAAGGGTTAAACTTTAAACTTTAAGGGGTTAAAAATTTTAATTCATGCTGTGAAGGGTGACGAATAAAATAATGCACATGCAACATAATATAAATGATATAGGAAACTATTGGTGGTTCTTAAAGAGTTAAGTAATGGTTTGTAAACATAAGATTATTTATTTTCAGCTGTTACAATCGTCCCTTTACTTATTGTTACAAT